TAGTGGACACTATGAATATTGGAAGGAGCATTGGATGTGATGAATAGGATGAGAAAGTGGCTTCGTTTTGAATAAGACTGCAACAACAACAGCTATGTTTTTGCAGAAAATCGCTTGTTGATTTATGTATCTTATTTTCTTCTAGCTAACTCAAGGATGTCTCCAACAAGCTATACATAACTTTGTGGAACTATGTTGAATTACCCCACTTATTTTTCTCAGTACACCGATGTTGCCCCGCTTCTGTTACCGAAAAATGAAAGCTAACCGGGGCTGCAACCAGCTGTCGGAGGAGCAGCTCCACCCGGGGGCATAAGTTGCTCTCGATGTTCGATGTGCTCACCTTGTTGACTCCTCTTCCGTCCGTCCGTCCGTCCGGCAGTGCTGATTATGCAGAGGTGATAATTGCAGTGTCCGGCGCGTCAAGATTTATTTTTTGAGCTTTAACGATGTGTTAAAATAAATTGCATATGTGCATGGTGAGCGATCGGTATTCGGTTTGCTTCGCACTCTCCTCGTGAAAACCCACAAAACGTCGCGCCTGTGTACATAAAAGTTTAATGGGCGCCTGCTGCATCTGCCGGGCCAGCCCGGCATGGTGTTGCGTATGGCAAAAGGCCCATTTTATCATACCCCGGCGTGTAATTGCGAGCGGGCTTATTAAAATATCAGGGAGTGTGCCCATAAATCGAATATTAAGGACTTTCTAAAAATCGCAGACTTATTGACCAAGCCAAGTTCAATCTTTGTGCGTGTCTCTTTTTTTTTATATGGCCAACTAACGGTCGATGATTGTAATTCAATATCGACCATATATAATATATGTATGTATGTATAGCTTATGAAGAGCCCCCGTCTAACCTCAAAAATGTCCGTCTGCCTTCCAGTGAATTCTGCTTCACCTCTGGCCGAAAAGATTTCTTCGGGTAATCGGATACCGGCGAGGATATCGTATGTTTTTTTTCGACTTGCCTGTTGCGTTTTTCTGCCTAATCAGTCGTGAATAATTTGCAGCTACTGTGTACGCCCCGAAGATCGAGATCGGGATCTTGCTCGGGATCGGGATGGGGCTCCTTCCGCTTGGCTAAAGCGTGTCTGCAACATATGGCTCCCACTCCATCCGCCTGTCTACAGCTGTAAAAAGTCTGGCTCTGGCTGCACTTTGCATTTCTCGAACACTTTTTCAGCACAGCCGTTCTTTTTTCGGGCGTAGCACGTGCTTCCAATGTACACTTGACACCGAATCAGAGTCTGATTTTTCTGGGGACAGGAAGTCAGACAGAACAAGATATGGAGCAGGGGAAAGCCTATAGAAAACGGACTCTTGGGTGAAAGACTACCCGCTGCTACTTAAAAACTATCAAACAGTTACATATTAACTGAACGGTTTAATTAAATTCCTTACATCTTAGTCAGTATTTAAAAATTCATAAAATACCCTTCACACACACAAGATGCTTCAATTTGAAGGCCTTGAAAGCCAACTTTGTAGGATCCACCATAAACAAGCTTACGCAGAAACTGGACACAATCTCTGGATTAGGCAAACCCATTGAGCACTCAGAATGCTCAACTCACCGACTCGAGACTGGCCTTTGTTTTAATCGCACTTTTCCCCGAAATTCGCAGCTTTGCTTTTGTCCATCATCAATCCGGTGCGGATGCCACCAACGAAGTTGGCCAGAACCAAGAGCCAACAGCCAACCTCCAGCTGCCATTAGGAGAGGGACATCCGTCCAGCTCACTTCCACAAGAAATTCGGCAAATCATGAAAGCTCACGATTCTTAGAACCGAGCCAGCCTAGAAACTCTATCTAGTCAGAGGAGACCGAGCCGGCGAGGGCAGGCGAGAGCGCTCATTGATTTTCGTGGCGGCTTTTTGATCTTCCACCGATCGTATCCATGGGATTGATCGACTGCCAGAGCAGCTCATCGACAGCTGTTTCGGCCGTGGACGTGGCGTGCCAGTAGATGTGGAAGTGGAAGGAAGGTCTCAAATCGCGAAAAAGGTTTGAAAGCTTGCGCATGCGCCAAACGTTTGGCCAACAGTAATCCCTTTTTTAGGCCAGTTGGCCTTGCCGGGAACTGAATGCCGATTGCCAACTGCTATTGTATTTATACCACAAGTCTAGATGGACTTCCATCCCAGCTGTGCTTCTTTAAACGTAAGGAAAATATTATATTTCATTCATATTTAAAAAAAAATTTTTATTATTTTTATTGACAAAAAGTAAAATAATAATAAATTATCTATTTCCACCTAGAAGAAGTCGAAAATATAAATTTTACAAATAAAAATCGCGCAATTTTCAAAAAATATTAATCAAAGTAGAATTTATATCATAACGGAAATGGCTATGCATAGCTTTGTTTATAAGGTTTTACCTACCTGTGAAACTTTATTCTAAAAAACCTTTATAGTTTTACTCGGGCTCTAAGAACTCGATACTACTCAAGGATATAGTTTTTTCGCTCTTTGAAAATAATTAATTAAATTAATAATTTCTGAAAAGAATCCAGTTTTATTAGATTAAATCCCAGTATTTTGTGTGAAATCAGAGCTGAGTTTCTGAATCCTTTACTTGACTGTAAAATAAATAAAATAAAAAATATTTTTGAAAAATAATATGTTTTTAAACTTACAAATTGTTTTACTTTATAAATTCATAGTTGAGTATTAAGTTAAGCTCGTATTATTTTGTTTATAATAAAAATATGGCCACTATAAAAATAACAAACAAAATATGTTCTGAAATCCGAAGTTTGTATACCGTTGTATTTTGTAATTCGATTAAAAGCAGATTTCTGAATCCCAACTTTACCAAAATTGTATTAATTTATATTTGGAAATTTTTTCTGTGTTCGATTTTGTAAAGATTACAAATGGCTATACGAAATTAACTTTTAATTACATTAAAAAAGCAATACCAAGCCCCTATTATTGACAAACCGCTTAAAAGTATGCAATTTTGAAAAACCGCAAGAGGTAGGCCAATAATAAAATGAAACAATTCAAATTCAAATGAAATTGTATGAACTCTCAAAAAGTAAAAAAATTGTTATACTCTGGCAGGGTATTATAATTTTAGCCAAAAGTTTACAACGCAGAGAGAAAGACGGTTCCGACACATAAAGTATTTATATTCTTGATCAGCATCAACAGCCGAGTCGATCTAGCTATGCCCGTCTGTCCGTTTCTACGCAAACTTGTCCCTCAGTTTCGAAGCTATCTGAATGAAACATTGCGGATAGTCTTCTGACCGTTCTCACTACTATATATGTAGGATCGGGGCGGATCGGCCGACTATATCATCGGAACAATTGGAAAATATGTAGAGAACAAATTATAATTTCGCTGTTGTTCATCATATTTTTATCTACTTTGAGATATGGTCAATTTTTATTATTTAAAATTTCCGTTTTAATTTTATGAAAATTTAAAACTTCATGTGCTGGTTTGTAAATAAAAACCAACAAACTTTCAGAATTGAATTTAATGCGTGTTTTTGGCTTAGTTGTAATCGAATTCAAATTCGTCCTATATTGAATTGATTACTTTGCCAGCTGCAAGAGTATTCTTAATATTTTTCAATTACTTTAATTAATTAATAGGCCCCATTTAATGTACACACTTAAGCTTCTTAATTGGTTTTCTTTCATAAATCGTTTCGATACATGATTCTTAATCAAAAATCTAGCAGAAAATAAATGCTAAAAGGTATAAAAATTTGCATAATAACCTAAAAATAGCCGGGGAAAGTTGGAAGGAGGCAAAGGTAGGGGAAATGGTTTTTAACAATGCGCGGATTCATATTCTGGCGATACACATAGGCATGTCATATATGTACATGGGCGACATTGAGTTAAGCAACTAAATAAATATCAATCTGTTTGTGTTCCGCATTCGTTCGTTTAGGATTCAAGTTAGTTCTCAGTCCTGGATGGAGAGGGAGGTGAGCTCTTCACAGCAGGCGAGCCAGCCAGTCGGTGAGGGGGCTCAGCTCCGAGTCCTTGGCGGAGGCCTCCACGAACTGGACATTCTGTGTTATGTGCGAGAACTCGAAGTCGCGTCCCGGCTTGCCCAGGGTGATGGGCTTATTTACGTCGTCGTCGCCCACGGATTGCAGTTTGCGGCTCCTGGTGTCGCGCACTGTGTTCAGCTCCTTCTCCAGCAGGCTCTTGATAACCTGGGAGCTCTTCGCCGTGGTCTGATCTTGCTTGTTGCAGAGCACCAGGACGGAGCAGGGCTGAGTGGCACTGTCCGCAAGAATTGTATACAGAGAGCTGTCGAAAGTCGGATTAGCAAGGCTTAGGAGCGGTAAAACGGTTTAGAAACTCACTCAGCCACATCTCTGATGTCCTTCTGGACCGTAACCGAGTCCACCACGAAGACAATGCCTTTGGCGCGGTGCTTGTACAGCTCGAAGCACTTGTCACGCACCCTGTAGTGACCGGGAATGTCCACTAGCCTGGCAGATGAGCCACCTGCCTGGTAGTCGCCTACGTTTTCTTTGATGGAGGTGAAGGTAGTCGGGAACTTGCCGTGGAGCATCTGCATAAATATGGCACTCTTGCCGGACTCACTTAGTCCGGTGAGGAGGAAGTCCTTGCGGCCAGCCGAGCGGCGTCGCAGGATCACAAAGATAGCTGGGGAGTGGAATTTAATTTGCATTTAATGTCCAGGTCCAAGTGAGACTCCCGGGGACCAAAGTCAACCAACCACGTGGCCTACTCACCGACGGCGATGAATCCCAGCAGGAGGGCCACCAGGATGGGACCAGTGTCGATCTCGCCCAGCTTGATCTGCTTCCGCTCGCGGGCATTTTCATTTAGTTTGTCCATTTTCGGCTAACAAAAACACTAAACAAATCGGAATCGGGGGAAAATGACACGCATACACACGCCGAGTGCTTTGCAACACTGGTCCACCGAGCAGTGCTGTAAGGCTTCGCTGGCCCAAGCCCGCGCGATTTGAATATTGTTACAGCAAACTAATCTTATTTAATGAAAATACATTTAATTTGCGTGGAGTACACCTTACAAAATTGGGACGCTACAATGTAGTGATCATGCGTGTGGAGCATAGCGAACTATAACAAAGTACATAGTGTAAAGTCAGGCGCCTTCTAAAAACTAAACTAGATGAAGAAACTTTCCGGATGGGCTCACGCCCCGCGGTTTTTTACCAGTCCGTAGAGGAGCCGGAACGTAAGGTTGCAGGAGAAAGCCCAGGCGGGCACGGATATCGCATTGGCCACGCCGGTGGGAAAGCTGAGAAGCCCCGTGAACGGCGCCAAGCTTATGCTCTCGTCGATTACTAGTACAGGCGTTCCGCGATTCCGGACGCTCACGATCACTGTGACCAGAGAGAGTAGCACCTTCGAGCCGTAAAAGGCCGCCGTGTCAATGCCCATTCGCATCAGATTCTCCACGCCGCGTGCAGACTTCAGCTTGGCCTCTGCCTCCGACACTTTCCGCTCGGCGCGCATAATTTTGATGGTCCTAGCATACTCGCCGGAATGCTCTGCATTGCGCACCTCGTCCGCCTGCTCTCGGGCGGAGTCCACTTCCTTCTGCAGCTGCCTCAGCTCCGACGAGTTTCTGGCGCCCCACAAACGTGACACTTTGAGCTGTGGAGTAAGAGATCGGGTGCCATTGGCGGATTTAACTTGGACTGGTGACACGTACGTATTTCCGTATAAAGTCCGGCAGGATTGTGTTCAGGAGACTGAGCAGCGCAATGAGGACGAAAAGCGTCATCGTTTTAAGTCAGTTTTGTATCCAATTAAGGGAAATATGCTGACGGTTCGTAGTTATTTGTGAGGAAAAACAAAATAGTGAACTCAGTGTTGGAAGGCGGCACGTGGAATCAGCTGACAGCTTGGCACAGGGGCGTAGATACAGGGTCTGTACCAAATGCCACAATTCAATTTAACGACTTGTTGCTTCAGAGTAATTAATTAATAAAATATTGGGCATAATTAATACCTTTGAAAATTAATTACTTGAAGCTGCAAAATGTATATTCTATAGATGAAAATAACAATTTTAATTCTATGTACAGGAGTTCTGTCAGCCCCTGACCTGCAAACAAGTTGTCAGCCCCGTGCACCACTACAGTGTTGGGCAACGGTGCAGCTGCCAGCTGTGCCGGCAAAACAAAAACACACTTTACGCGAAGTTTCTTGAATATTCCACGACTTTATTGGAATTTGTCAAGTGTCCGGATGAGCCACATCAACCATGGAAGACAGAAACGAAGAGGTACAATTGGCCCCATCTAAATGGCATAACTTACCAGGCATTTCTCCCACAGATTGAACCCTGCCGCAGTATAGGGCCCCACGAGCTGGACGTGGTCAAGAGCCAGGCGGTGATCAAGCTGTCGCCCGTCCCACTCCCCGCGCACTTCAAGCGGCTGGAGTGCAACACGAACCTTAATCTGCCGCCGCTCAACTGGCTGACCACGTCTCACAGCAGCCACGGACTGCACCAGGCGCTGTACCAGAGCGCAGGCTTCGCCAGCTTTCGGCTGGGCCAGATGTTCCCCGACTGCGTGGGCGAGGTGGACGTGGTGAGCGACGCGGAGAATATTAAGCAGCTGCTGAAACTGCCTTACAGTGCCCAGAGTGCCATCAGTATGGTGGTGCACAAGGTGGGCAACACGTTGCTCCTCGACGAGTTCGACATCCAAAAGTATTTGCTACGCAAGGCGGACGACGACTGGAAGTGGCTCCGCACCTTCATCCTGGAGCACATACTGACCTACGGCGACACGCAGCACAACTACTGCCTAAAGGAGCGATCGCGCGAGGCGCTGCAGACGAAAAACCTCCTCTCCAAGTTCCTGTATCACAGCTTAAAGCAAACTGGCGAGGAGCTAGACTACGATGTGGCCACCACGCCCACGCAACTGACTAGCAGGAGGCAGGGACTGCCCATCACGGGACCCGTTCTGCCCGAGCCCAAGATCGAGGAGAACGTGCCGGACCCCAAGTCCAGCCATGCCTTTAATAGGAACGTGGTGTGGACCTTCGAGGACATACGCATGCTGATCGGCACCGATATGCCCATCTTCGGCGGACCCAACAGGCCGTGCATCAGCCTGCGCTTAAGGGACGCCGCCCAGCCCATCAACGTGCTGACCGGCATAGACTATTGGCTGGATAACCTCATGTGCAACGTACCGGAGGTGGTGATGTGCTACCATTTAGACGGCATTGTGCAGAAGTACGAGATCATTAAGACTGAGGATCTGCCCTACCTGGAGAACTCGCAGTTCTCGCCGCAGGTGGTCCGCAACGTGGCCCAGAATATCCTGGCCTTCCTAAAGGCCAACGCCACCAAGGCGGGCCACACCTACTGGCTGTTCAAGGGGCGCAACGACGACGTGGTCAAGCTGTATGACCTCACCACTCTCTGCCAGAGTCAGAGCCAGACAGCGGAGAAGTCCGAGGGTGATCCGCCGCAGCAGCAGGTTAATCCCTTCACCGTGCCCGTTGGCATGCTGCTGTACTCGGTGGCGCGGAACATGAAGAACACGCTGCCGCGCATCAGTCCCAAGGCCGCTGGCAACATACGCGCCCTTCTGGACAACTGCATCAAGCTGCTGCCGAAGGAGCAATATCCGCAGATCGTAAGCTCCTCGCACTACATCCTGTCGGACCTCCATGTGCCAGCGGGAATAGATCCCAAGGCGCCCAAGTTCGAGGAGGATTCTGACGACCAGTCCCTATATGACGACGACGAAGAGGACGAGGAGGATGACTATGAGGACGATCTTCTCAACTGCGACTATCCCAGTGAGAAGAGTTACCAAAGCAGCGAGCAGGGCGGCGGACGGGCCAACGTGGCTGTCCGCCACATCTGTGACGCCCTCAGGGACTTCAAGTCGCACGCCAAAAAGGCCAAGCCAGCCCCGCTCCTGGCCACGACTGCCGAACGATGCAGCATATCGTTGGAGCACATCAGCTCGGGGCTTTCGTGCCTGCAGTACTTCAATGGCAGCCAGGAGGAGAAGCTCAAGGAGTCGGAGACGCATGCCAAGCAGGAGGAGAAGCAGCGCATCCTGCACGAGGAGCAGAATCCCAATATGGCCAAGCCCTTCAGTGCCATCCCGCTGCCCTACGAGCAGCTGAAGCTGACTCAGCAACAGGCGGTGCCGGCGCTGAAGAAACCAAGCTCCAAAGCCAAACGGAGCAAGTCCAAGGAACTGGCCACCACAGCCAAAACCAAATCCTCGACTGCCAGCAATCGGCAGTTGAGTGCCAAGTTCAACACCCAGCACTTTGGCTCCTGGAACGTGCACCTCAAGCTGCTTCTGCTGGAGAAGGCCTGCCTGACGTTTGCCACCCTGGCGGAACAGCACTACGAGTCGCGCCACTACGGCTCCACGCTGCGCTTCATTGAGCTGGCCTGCCGGTGCCAGCAGGTGCTCAACAAGTACATGGCCAATGTGGTCTCCCAGTACAGTTGCCTGCTGGGCCGGGCTGGCGATTGCTTCTTTCAAATGTCCAAGCACTGGGAGGCCATCGAGGAGTACGAACAGCAGTACGAGGAGCAGGATAAATCCGTGGGCGTTATTAACGACGAGTTGTCGCAAGAGCTGGAGGGAGAGGAGGAAGAGCTGCCCACTCTGGCCCCGGTCAAGAACGTGGAGCAGGTGATGCTGCACAGCTGCAAGTGCTACGAGCTGGCCCTGGAGCACGCCCAAAAGGCGGAGAGCAACGAACTGCTACGGAGACTGGGAAACGTTAGGAACGAGCTGGGCCTGAAGTACATGTACTGGGCGCAGGGTAAGTTGTGGAATCCCATATTTCGGCTTCTGGATCTAAACCCATGTCGTTTTTTTTTAGAGGAATACAGCGATGTGATGAAGCAGAAGGAGTCTGTCAAGGCTGCAGGAGATACCAAGCTGGAGGACACACAGAGCTCTGAATCCGTCGATCCGCTCTACGTGAAACTGACTGTCAATTCCTATGACTGCCTGCGTCGTGGCATCGATGCCTTCACTGCCGTTCAGGACAATGTAAATCTGGCTTTTCTCTACTGCAACATGGGCAGGTTCATGCGCCTGCGGGCCCATCTCACCATGCCAAATGAGAGGTAAGTGTTGCACCCCCAGCTTATCCAGATCCTGGCTAACCAGCTTATCCCAGCGCCATCGCCTTGGACACCCAAAAAGCATTTTACAACGAGGCCTTCAACTACTATGAGAAGGCCAAGGACTGCCTGGACACAAGGAAGGCCAACGCCGAGCTATGGGACCTTGTCCACTGGGAACTCTCCACTGCCACCTTCACTTTGGCGAAACAGTTGCAGGACTACAGTGCAGCTGACATGACCAGCCTGGCGGAGGCATCCAAAGAAGTACTGGAACTATTGCAGAAATCCCTGAAACTCTGTGATGTGGAGCACCCGGGGGCTCGCCAAGTGCTGTACAGCTTTAGATCGGGGCTGATACACAAGAGGTAGGGAGGTCACACCTTGGATGTACTGGCAGAATGCTCCTTACAAACGTGTTTTTCACCAGAATTGCCTCCTTTCACTACTCGCAACTTCGTTCCCATGGCAGCTGTGAGTTTTCTCAACTGCCCAAAGCCACCTTGCAGCTCTGCAAATATCACTACGAAAAGGCCACGCAGATACTGGAGGTCCTCAAGGAAACGGGCGAGTTGCTGGTGGTGCAGCTGGAGCGGATCTCCCTGCACGAGTTCCTCGCCGAACGTGAGTACCAAAGATGTCATCATAAAACACTTTAGGTAATTTCGTTCGACTTTCCTACAGTTTCCACGCACCCCGCCCAGAAGATCAAGCAAATGCAAGCGGCTTTGGACATTTGCTTGCAGTGCCATCTCATTTTTGCTCACGTCATCGATGCTAACAGTGGCCAAGCGGCCGACGACGAGTTTGCCGGCCATTTGACGCTCTTTGAGAGCCGCTTGCAAAACGCTCTGAAGACTCTCACCAAGCTGCTGCTGACCGGCAAGGATCCCAAGCAGCTGTCCAAGCTGTACAAGCGCATGTATATGGAAACCTTGACTGGGAAACATGGCACAGGGGCCCAGCAATCGCCGGCAACTGGCTCAAAGCATTTGCACACGCTGCTCACCCGGCTGCGCGCCATGTGCGACGCCCAGCTGGCCAGCGACTAGCCGTCCGTACGTGTCTTCTGATGGTTTTCGCCCCCCCAGAGCCCATAACCGATCAAATTGTATGCATTGCTCGTCGCTTGTTTATTGATGTCTCATCTCAGCCCCGCCGCCCGCAGCCGCAGTCATCGCTGTCGCGGTCCAAGTGCTCCGCCCCCAACTGCAAAGCAGCCAGCATCAGCATCACAGCCACCTGTAGGATCTGCAAAGAGAGAGGGGAAACTGTAACCACTGCTGATGATGAGCTCGCAATCAGTTAATCACACCTTGCAGCGCAGACTTTTCATTTTGTGAGCCCGTTTTCTGTGCTGGCCATCGTCGGCTCAGCTCTTATAAAGTCTGAGGGCCTCGGCCCAAACGTGTCGCTCATCTAGATTGTGGCCCTGTTAAATATCTTGTCCAACAAGCTGGCAATATCGGACTTGCGATGGATGATGGAGAGCGTCCGGCCCTCTAGAGCGGATTCTCTCTTGCATCAATTACACCACGAATACTGTTAATATTAAATATTTACCGTGTTCGCTAGATATTCTCCAGCCTTACAATAACATTATTATTTAATTCCTAAGAGCAAAGCCAACAATAAAGAATAAAGTCTTAAAGAGTAAGTGCTTCTGGGTGCTGCATCCGGAGAAAGATCGGTTTCATCCGTCCGCGGGCTGCTGCCTGCTGGCTGCTGGGGCCCTGAGCCTGGCCAACATCTAAATAAGTCATTATTCATTATTTAGCCATTCACAGTTTGGGTAGCGCCAGCACTAGAGAATTATAAAAAGCTTAGCGCTGCAGTTTGAAAAGTCGAACAGCGAACAGTTTAATTGTTTATAATTTTATTGTAATTTTATCTCGACTTTTTTTGCTTTTGTATATAAATTGTACCAACGCAGCAGAAAGTTCAGGCCACTGCCTTGGCCGGGTGTGTCATTGAAAAAACGGTGTCAAGCTCGCGGCACCGTGGGGCAAACTGGCCCGAAGCGGGGTCGAAACTATGCGGATCCGGAGCACGAAGAGTCATGCTCTCGGAATCTTACGTAATGGGCTGAGGGGGGTGTCGGTCTCGTCTCCGTCAGACGATGGCGTAAGTACACTATCTGGACCGGGGGCCGAATTGAGAGCCGTTTTTGGCCAGAACCCGAGCTCTTGCCTGGCTGCACGTCTCCGGCGGCGTCTCGAGATTGCCGGACAAAGAGTTGTGCCGAGACCGAGACCTGGAGCTGCGTCTCCGGGAGCCCCGCCGACGCCGCCGTCGAGAGCCGAAACTTGCATCACTTTCGTTACGTAAGTGTTTGACATTTGCCTGGATTCGCCGTATAAAAACAAAACAGTTCTCATGCTGAGACATTAGTTACTTTCGCAACGATCAACTAACCAACTCAGCCTCAGAATGATGAAGTTCATGGTGAGTTTCAACAGTCAATATAAATGACAGATCCTTGAGATCCTGAATCTCTATACCTCCCACTACTCAAAACTAGGGAATACAAAATTAATGATGATTTTGTTCTACTCTTTAGTGCCTCTGCATCTGCGCCATTGCTGCCGCTTCGGCCAACCCCTATGGAGGATCTCGCGGTGGATACGGCGCCCCCGTTGGCGGTTATGCCTACCAGGTGCAGCCTGCTCTGACCGTTAAGGCCATCGTCCCCTCGTACGGCGGCGGCTATGGTGGACACCGGCAGGGCGGATATGGCGGTAGCCACGAGGTTCCTGTGGAATCGGTCTACACCGGCTCCAACTACCACCGCTCTGGCTACGGCGGTGCTCCGCCAGTCGACCGAGAGGCCATTGCCCTGGCCAAGCTTGCTCTGGCCGCTCCCAGCGCCGGCAATCCTCTGGTCTGGAAGGAGGGACCCCGCTATGTGGAGCGCTCTTATGAGCCCAGGGGCTATGGACCCCGTCAGGAGTACGCTCGCGGCGAGGAGGCCAAGGGTGCTTCGGCGGCGGCTGCTTCCAGCTCCGTGGCTGGCCAGAAGGGATACAAGAAGTCCGGCTACTAAGTGGCAAAACCACAAGAACAGTGATCCAGTTACTTACCTAAGCAACTACGTCTAAATAATAAAACCAAGAAACATCAAGACTTAAACTGAGACTGTGTTTATTATTGATCTTTAATATTTATTTTACTTTATTTTATTCTTCATTTATTTTTATTTATTTAACTATTTATTGGGGCAATTATTTGTGCTGCTTTAGCTTTGCTGACGAGACTTTTGCCAAGCAAAATTTGTGAGACTTTGTGCCAACCAAAATGGGCTTGGGCCAGAAACTAAATGAAAATAGTATTGAGCATGGTTTAGGTTGAAAAGTTGTGATATTCTTGGCTTTTCATATATTAAATTTAATAATTCTTAACAAGAAAAAGGGGTATAGATATAAGATACCAAAAATGCTTCAATCTTTTAATTTCTTAAATTAACAAGTTCAGTTTAGTTATCGCCAAGCAATACAATTTCCTACTACAAATACTTACAAAAAATATAAATAATTTCTAAAATATTTACAAATAATGCAATCTTAGTTCTAAAAACAGTTTATATTCATATTATAGACAATATTTTTCAATAATCAAACTAGTTTTAGTCAGTTTTAGAACATCCCCACCTATATTTTACACGTTTTCCGGACACAACCGATCCGTAAAGCATTACCCCCAGGAATGTGGAAAACGGAAAGTCAATTACAATATTTTTTCGGAGTTTATTTTAAAAACAACGCGTTCGTTATTCCAAGTTCCTCCCCTTCAAAGAGAGAGAGAGTCGCGTGTGAGTGTACTTTGGTGAAACTATCAAGAACCGGGGGCTCAGGCCCGGGGTTCGGCTCCGGAACAATGCACAGATCGCGTAACCAAGCGATTTTATAATGGCACATGGAAATACATAAATCAAATGTGAGTATATTCAATTATGAAATGCGGTTTCGGGCTGAAACGGAGCAGTAACTAGCATGTATATAGGTCACGTAGATATCCAGGCTGAAAAATTAACGTATAAAAGCGGGCGTCGGAGGTCCGGTAAATCATAGTTTGATTGATTACCCCAAACCAACAAAACTAACTAATTCACCATGAAGTACCTGGTAAGTTATAAGCAACTACCAAAGGAAGTGGCAGCCAGCTAATCCTCCGAATGTCCTCCCGCTATCCTTAGATCATCTGCGTCTCTCTGGCTCTCTTCGCCTATATCAACGCCAGCCCGGTGTACGGCAACCGTGGAGGATATGGTGGTGGTTATGGTGGCATCCAGCGCGTCGTCTACGAGGAGGAGCGTCCCTACGGCCGTGGCTACAACCACTATGGTCCCCGTGAGCTCAGGTCCTACGGAGAGGAGCCCAGGGCTGCTGCCTCTGCCGCTGCTGCTGCCTCCGCTGTGAGCAAGGGTAACTACCGATCGTATGCCATCCCCAGCTACGTGATCGATGGCGGTGATGTTGGCCACCGCGGTGGACACTACGGACGCGGTGGATACTAAATCGAACTATCGAAACGAATTGTTCAGTTCCTCGAGTGGCTGTCGAAGCGAAACTCTGAGAATCGGCGAATAAAAGAACACCTTGAACGCAATGGAAAATATTGAACAAAAATTCCCATATTGAGTTTTGCATTTGTGGGGCGGTTGCTAATACTTAGTGGCATACTTTTCAGCGATATTGGCTAAAGACTGTGGGCTTGTCGGAGGGTTTTATTCCAGGCACCAGTTGAGCATACAAAAATACTTTAAACAGACAGAAAAGTTGAATTTAAAATGACAATTTAAAAGATTTTTATGACTGGAAATAAATCAAGCTTAAAACAATTATAACTTTTTCATGGGTTAAAAGAACTTGTATTATATTTGTATCTCTATATTTTGTAGCAGAAATATGCACAAATTACTTGCATTTTAAAGTTTGAGTTGAACAAATCAGAAAAGTCTAAACACTTAAAAGATAACTTTTCATAGTCGTTTGGAATCTTCCCCCACTTGCATGCAATCCCACTTTCCCTGGCACTAGCAGCTGGGTCTTAACCCTCTTATTCCCCCAAATTCGGCCGCATACCCTCACGCATCCCCAGCTCAATGCAGCCCCCATTGACATGGGGTCATCCGCATCTGCCACCCTCAACCAAGGTCGACAGCCAAGTGTCTGTATCGCTGGCGGTAAACAAACCTGGCCAGCAAACCGAGCAACCTGCTCAATCCAAAACGAGTCGAGCGGCGGTATCTCTGGCCAGGGAAGTGCGAAAAACTCGCAGAAAGTCGCCCAACGAGCTGGCCGAGAAGAGCCGGAGCAGCGAGCTCTTGAGCCGTGATAATTTTCTGGGCGAGATCACGTTTCGAGTGCAACAATTATTTTGCTTATATAAAGAAGTGTGCTTGCCACTTAATTTGTTAATTGTGCCAACTGTGCCGAAACCTAGACAGCATAGCCATGAACAAGTTCGCTGTAAGTATACTAGCGTCCCTGAAGACTTCCCTGAAGACTTCCCCATGACCCTCGTCACCTCGGATCTCCTAACTCACTGTTTTGCCCCTCTTTTGCAGACCCTCGCGGTTCTCTTCTGCGCCTGCATTGTGGGCAGCTGCTACGCCAACTACGGCGGCCGCCCTGGCTACGGACACGGTGGCTACGGCCAGGAGAGGTCCTCGGGATCTGCTGGTGCAGCTTCTGCTGCCAGCTCGGCGGCTTCGAGCAACGAGGGTCGCGGTTATGAGCGTTATGAGCGCCCCGTCGAGATCATCGCCGGCGGACACCGTGGAGGCTACGGCCAGAACCACGAGATCCTGCGCCCCATTAACATTGGCAGCTACGGACACGGACGTCGTGGTCCCAGCTACAACCGCGGCTATGGACCCCGCTGGACTGTCCAGCCCGCTGGCGCCACCCTGCTGTATCCCGGCCAGAACAACTACCGCGCCTACGTCTCGCCCCCAGAGTACAGCAAGGTGATCCTGCCCGTCCGCGCTGCCGAGCCGGTGGCCAAGCTGTACGTGCCTGAGCACGGATACGGCCAGGAGTACCGCGAGCGCCCGTACGGCGGACCCCGCGGCGGCTACTAAGCGGATACTTAATCCCAGCCAAAGGCCACCTAGGCGGATACTTGATCTGAGCCTGGACGTGTACATAATAAACCAAGAATGAAAAAACATAACTTTTTCGGTCAAATTGATTTTCGGGGGAATATATCTCGGGGCACCTAATTTTCGGGTTGCTTAGCTCAAATGCAGCTGCTGCAGCTGCTGAAGCCACTTGATTGCAGCTCCCCACGGGAATGTCTTTGAGTGACATTGACCGGAGGCAGAGCGGCGAACGTGCTCCGGATTTGTTTACTCCGGCTCACTCACAACGGGAAGCCGCTGGAGGAGGAGGAACGGAACCGTTAGCATTCAATTGCCAATTCAGTCGCTCAATAATCTTGCGGCGGGAAAGTGCCAGAGGTTCGCCGATTGCCGCGCATATTTTCTGGCTGGTAAGCAAACACACATCTGCTGACTTGTTTGGCCCGAAGAACTCTTGGCCATTGCGCCACCTTCGCTTGACATTCGAGCCGCTCGATTCGCGCTGTGAATCATGCCGAGAATTCTTGGCTCGATTCTGGCACAGTTCTGGTGAAATCTAGACTTTAAATTCAGTCTCCGATGTGCATTATATTGTGATTTATAAGTTGTACAGAGCTGTATTCTTGTTTTTGAGATAGTTTTAATAATAAATACTAATCATTTCACAAATATATTTGATATATTAAGACATGTTTAGTTGCATTAAGCCCTTTAAACTAATAATTGATTAATTGTCGTTTACCTACAAGATTTTAGAAACCTAAATACACTAATTTTTAGGAAAAAGTAATATTATATGCATATATTTATATTTGTTATATTTTTGTTTACATTATTTTCTGAAACTGCTAATTAGAGTTTGAGATGTAATTAAAAAATAGATTTTTAATTCATAGATTCTAATGATATAATTTCAAATTGTTAACTATTTAGTGTGCTAATTTTTCTCTAATAAAACTCATTACAAAATGTCGAATTGATTGCATCAAGATTCTATAAAAAGATTCTATAAAAAACGAAATCTGATGTAAACTGTAAGTATTTAGCAAGAATTAAGTACTATTATTACAATATACCTTTACTATTAAATTAAAAATGTATTATTCCATAAATAAAGTCTTCTCAGTTCTAAAAATTAAACAAAGCTCACTGGTCATGCCTGCGACAAAAGCCGCTATCATCAGCTTGGGTGAGTTGGTTCAGGTTCCGGTTCATTGATCGGTGGCTTAACCCCTGCGGGCCCCAATGTCCGATGCGTGCACGCCGGGATGGGGATGGGTTGGGATGGGATCGGAGTAGAGTGGAGCACTTCGGGCAAAGCCCCGATACCGCACACACCAGCAGCCAGCGGAGCGTGCCGAGCCGGGGGAAGTTGCTATCAATGGAGAGCAGCTTCTCGGGCGGGGCCAATTTGGCGCGCATTTTCAATGAGCATAGAAATTGGAGACGATCCGGACTTATCGCGGGGGGATGGAGATGCTGGCTGCTGGCCGCGGCTGACGGCCCCCCGAAAGTAAGTGACTGGCCACCGAGCTGGGTTTGGTCACGTCTGGGAAGCTCACAAATCGCTGGCCAGCTCAAATAGTGTTGCTATAAAAGCAATTTGGACACACGCTTGGGTTAATTAGTTTTCCGACCAGTCTGCTCCTCGCACCACACCGAAAAAACCAAAACCATGTCCGCCAGCCTGCGCCTGCTCTGCCTGATGGCCTGCACCCTCACCGTTGCCCTGGCCCACCGTCCCAGCTATGGACTCTCCGGATACTCTGGCTACGATGCCGTCAAGGCGGCCGAGACCGCCGAGGCTCAGGCCTCTGCTCTGACCAATGCCGCTGGAGCAGCTGCCTCCGCCGCCAAGCTGGACGGTGCCGATTGGTATGCCCTCAACCGTTATGGCTGGGAGCAGGGCAGGCCCCTCCTGGCCCGTCCCTACGGACCCCTGGACAAGCTCTACGCCGCTGCCCTGCCACCACGCTCCTTCGTGGCCGAGATCGATCCAGGTGGGTTTCCTAATCTAACCTGAAATTAAGTCACTAACTTTGGGAAAAGAAAAGTCAAGAGATAAATAATGGAAAACTAACTATAGGAAGATCTAAAAGAACTAACAAAGTAGAGTTTCTAAAAGAAAACTAATAATATTTATAAAATTTTCGTATTTATTTTTCGTAATGTTAAATCCAAGTTCAACTTTACTTATTTTCGTCTCTATTTCTCAATTTCAGTCTTCAAGAAGAGCCACTACGGCGGAGCTTATGGCGAGAAGTCGGCTGTTCTTAACACCGAATCCAAATTGGCCGTTGCGGCGATCTAAGAGCTGCTGTTGAAAAGCTCAGAAAGTCTTAATAAATAGTGATAGCTTAAATCAAGATATCTGATTTTATTTTTTGGGAAAGGGAACCGTTTGGGGGACAGATAGAAATCAACAGGATGCCCCTCAAGTCAGATTTTGTATTTAATATGTGAAATATTTAAGGGTCTTATAAGTCAGCCCTTAATTTCAAAATACCCACCTGAGAAAGCGGCTTAACTGACATCTGTGATTAGTTATATTAATATTCATATTAATAAGTAAATTATAGATCTCCCCATTTTAAATTTACTCAAGCCCGCTCAGTACAATTGATTTTCACTTATCATTTCTTATGTGTTATTATTATGAATAGAGTTTCGTTTTTATTGCAAGATACAAAGTAAAAAATGTGAAAATTGCTCAGTTTTGTTGATGTTGATTTAATGTAAAATTCAAATTCGTTACGAGCACACAGAAATTTACCTACTAAACATAAAGCGAACTAAAAACAAATAGTAGAAGCGGTTGTAACTCGGTTAACTCGATGCTGTGGCGTGCTTAGTGGGTTTGCTCATGGTGACGATTGCTCCGATTTCAGATTGGATCCAATCGAACGTTATTGTTCAGCCAACTCTCTTTCTCTCATCTCTACGTACAGTATATAGTATATAGTATATAGTGTATAATATATGGTGTATGGTTTACGGTGTTTGGTCTGTCTCTATCGCTAGCAAAACTCTGCCAAGTTTTCGTTGATTTGTTTTTATTTTTGTTTTTAGGTTTTCAGGTTCATTATTTTAATTAAATTACATGAACTTCAAAATAGTATTATTATTATATAGATAGGATGTGTAGTGTTATGTATTTATAGTGTGTAGCCTATACGAGCCCCGCCGTCCGCCGGTGTCCACTGGGTTCTTGGTCGCGCTCCATCCGGCGTTTGGGGGGTGACAAAAAAATTTAAATTATAAAAACTTTCTCACGCAATTCTCGATCTCGATCTCGGTCTCGGTCTCGGTCTCGTCGTTCTCTAGATCGACTATGAAATGATCTCGGTTCGGGTGCTGGCGCCGGTGTCGGGGCACTCTATTCGGTGATCGTCCTTGTGGTCTCCTGGATGTACACCTGGGATCCGGGCACCGTCGAGGTGGTGACGAACGTGCGGTGCTTGGCGCGGATCAGGTTCAAGTTGGACTCGGCCACATCGGCACGGTCCTCGGCAGCCTCAAGCTCCCGCTGGAAGCGGCGGACACGGGTGGTGGTCTGCTGGGAGACGCCCTCCTGCTCGCACAGCTGGCGGCGGTAGATGTTGATCTTGGCAGTGGACTTGTCCAGAGCATCCTGCAGCAGGATGAGGTTCTTCTGGTCCTCCTCGCACTGCACTATCACCTCCTTGACGGTGCGCTCCTTCTTGCGCAGGATCTTGATGGTCTCGGCGTGGCGGCGCTTCTCCTCCTCCAGCTCCAGCTCCAAGTCGCGGATGCGGGCCTCCAGCTTGCTGATGATGCGCTTGCTGCCGGCGACGGCGTTCAGCTCGACCTCCTCCAAGCGGATGGACAAGTTCTACAGGGGATTTGGGATTAAACGGAGAATAAATGATATTAAATGGATAAGAAATGGGAAAGTGTTGTAATGTATAATTTAGAATTGTTTGACTTGGTACCTTGACTTCGACTTCCAAGGACTTCTTGATGGTCTCCAGCTTCACGATGCGCTCCTGCTCCTCATGCACCTGCTCGACGACGTGCTTCAGCTCCACCTGGACCTTCTGGAAGCGCTCGTCGCTGATGCGCAGCTCCTTGGACACCTCCTCGTAGTCGGAGGCAACGACGGTCAGCTCCTGCTCCAGCTTGGACTTGATGGACACCAGGTTGACATTGGCAGTGGTCAGCTCGTTGATGCGCGTGGTGGCCTCCTCGTACTGCAGCTCGACGGTGCGCTTGGCACGGTTGGCGCTGTCCAGGTGGGAGCGGACCTCCTCCAGCTCACCGTTGAGTCCGGCCAGGCGGCGCTGGGCGATGCCGTACTGGTCAAGGGTGGCCTGCAGCTGGCGCTGCACATCCTCGTAGTGGGCCTGGAGCTCGGTCAGCTGCAGCGACTGCTTCTTGATCACCTTCTGCAGATCGATGTTGGTCTTGTTGGCCACATCCAGGGACATCTCCAGCTCGGTGATCTGGATCTGCAGCTTCTTCTTGATGCGGGTCACCTCGGTCTTCAGCCGGGTCTCCGCCTCGATGACACGGGCATTGAGCTGCTCGATCTCGATGGAGGTCTGCTTGCTGCAGTATGGAAATGTCCGGAATTATAGCAAACATAGAATAGATATTGGAAATTCCCCACAATCGATATCAAGATATCGCCAAATGGAAGTAGTAGCCCCTACAAAAGCGGTGACGGCGATGGCCCTCTGAGGTTTCGCTTTGCTGGCTCTATTTTTGGCCCCAATGTCTGACCCACAAACTGCATTTTTCGCACCACTCAGCAGTCGAGAAGCACTCGCTCAGGTGGTGCTATGGCATTGTCAAAAATGCTTCATTGTTTCGCCCGCTGCTGCATTTGCATTCGCGAATTTCGGTGTATTTTTACGCATGATAAAGACATCGAACTTGTCACAAATAGCTTAGGGGTAACATGCCAAAGTATTTGCTAAGTAGTTCCTTCTCCCCTGCGTTTTTTTTTGTTGGGTTCTTGTTTTTGGGCTAAGTGCATCATGCGTCTATTCTTGGGCGTAGGTGCACTCGTCTTGCCAACTAAATTTGATTAATGTCTGCATTTCTAATACTCTACCTGATTCACTTTCTAAATAGACTTAAACTATGACTAACTAATTTATTTGTTGTGCTTGAGAAAGGTAGAAAAGGCTAGGATAAAGTGGATTGCAACGAAAAATACATATATAAATAAGGTAATTTATTATGATATTTGATATATGAAAAAAGGAATAATTCCGAAAATGCCTATTGATATCTATCTATCTATCTCCTAATATTTTATACAAAAACTTAACCTTAGAAAAGGTTTTATCGGTTATTTTGTGAGACAAACGGGGTTTTATTCTCTTGGTAGTTATAGTTTAAATAAATTAATTACTCAGTTAACAGAGTATCTCTCAATTATATCATAAAAACACGAGTATTAACTGCCAGAAATTCTTCTCTGCGATGATCTTTCTGTTTAGTTGAACGCTCTGATATGTTTTTTTTTTCTAATAGTGGCCCCCGTGTCTTGGTTACTTAATCTTAAAATCGTGTGCTCATTGCTGTCGCCTTGCCAAGGTATTTGCCTTGTCTGTGTGTCTTAGCTAGAAAACTTAAGTATTCCCATTTAGATTTTAATTTTTCCCTGCCATTGTTTTCAATGTTTACGCAAAAATATTTGCTGGGTTTATTTTGTTCTTGTTTTTTTTTTCCTGCTGTCTTTTTCGTGATTGTTTTTGCTGTCATGCGCATCAGTTTTCTTGGGTTTGAAAATAAAATAAATCTCTTGTCGAATTTGAAGGACAAATCCGCAACAATAGTTGGTCGGACCATCTACGCGCAAATCGGGCCGACAGCCTCGAGAAATACCTGGGGGTGGGTGTGGGTGCGAAATATGATCGGAGTGTTGGTTTGAAATCCGAAAATTTTGTGGTTGAATTAACTATAATCCAAATATTTTTAGAGCAAAATGGGAGGTTGCACTAAATAATTGATTCCTTTTTTGATTTATAAACAGATTTATAACTAATTGGAACCTATTCACTTATCAATAATCGAAACTTTGTATAGAAAATCCCACTTTTTTCATATAAATAATTAACATTATTTCAATAACCCTTCATATCTTCAAGCTTTTAAAGCTCAACTTGGTCAACATTTCCCTGACATTGTTGGTAATTAATGACCAAATTGCTGGCGATTTTTAGCAATTAACCATGCGCAAATATGCTGTGCATAAATCTGTATAAATAATTCACAGAAGAGTGCACAACAGACACAATGGGGAAAAAGCAGGCCCAACAAAGTGTACGAAACAAGACCGCAAACTGAGAAAACTCTAGAAAACGAAAATAAATTTTGTGCCAGACAAGAAACGAGAAATAGACAAATAAAGATAGGGACAGGGGTTTCTTTTTTGAGGAAAAAATTAAGAGGATTCTGCTGTGCTCTGGCAAAAATGTTCGCATTTATTACAATTTCCCTGAATTTTGGGACTACAAGGAAAAAACAAATCTGTGGCAACATGCACATATTATTAACTATTTCCTTCTACTCTTTGATAAAAAAGAGCTTCTAAGTAAGGCTTTCATTTCAAAGTAATTATTTTAATTAAATATATGAAGCAGCTTTTTTCGATTTAAATTTAATAGGGATTTCTGTCACATTCCTGAAGATTTTCATTTAAAAATTATATATTTTAGAAATTAGTATTGATCATTACAAGTAACAAAAGTTACTTGATCTCCCATGTATCTTTCTATTTTCTTTTTACTATCTTAGTTATCAGATACATTTTTATGGCCATTCAAGTAATTTTGTTAGCTAAAAACTGCTACCACACATAATTATATATCCTCGTTTTTTGGGAACTTCTAAACTTCCTTCAAATATCTTTTAATATCAAATTCTTCACTCTTTAAAACTGATACCAAAAACTATAATTTCCACACTTTTAAATATATATTTTTTCCGTTCAAAAAATATTAAAATTTCCTTGTTTTGTGTTGCAATTAAAACTTCAAATGAGGATGAGAGCGAAAGGGGCAGGGAATTGGGACTTTAAGGAAGGAGGAAACCACCCAGCCAGCAGGACACTAGTGCTTCCAATACACGTAGCTATAGTCCTTGAGCTTGGGATGGGTGCGCAGGACCTTACGGCAGATCCAACACTTATCCTCGATACCGCACCTGCTGTCCGCGTAGAACTCGACTGTCTTCTGGTTGAGCGTGGATAGCTGCCGCTTCACGTTGTGCAGCGAGGAGGAGACGCGGTGGTCCAGCTTGTCCACCAGCCGGTCGTCCATCAGCTCAATGTGGAGCGTGTGGGCGCGCAGCTGGCCATCGCCGTACGGGGACGATGACCGGGAGCGGGCACGGGATACGGCACGGCTGGATCGGACCAGAGTCTGGGCCATGAAGTCCTCCTCCTCCTTCTTGGCGGTCTTGATGTTCCGCTCCGACTCCGAGAGCAGGGCCTGGGCAATGGCACTGGCGGACTTGCCGCGAATCTGGCGCTTAAAGTCGTCCGACATTTGGTCAATCTCGTTGTCCAATTCTATCTTACGAATACGCTGCAGTATCTTCTGCGTGTCGCGTTTGATCAAATCCTCGAGCTCCTCCTGGCGGCGGCGGCGGCGCTGGCGCGATCTCTCGACAACTGTGTCCGGTTCAAGGTGCTTCGCGACTCGCGTTGCGTCGACGAGCTTCTGCACACTGAATGGCGATCGCTTCTGGGCGCGAAAGCTGAGCAGAATCTCGTCGGCGCGCGCGGCGCAGGTGCGCGAGAGCCGGACGATCTCGTCGGCGTTGTATTGTCGCACCGCGTTCGAGGAGCGATACTGCTTCAGTCCCCGCTCGCTCACCCAGGGCAGGTGGGGCTTCTTCACCTCCAGACCCTTGGCCTTGGCGTCCAGGTAGTCCAGCATCGGCTGGTAAAAGTTCATGGTGTATCCATAGTTGTCCTCATAGGTGTTTGCATGGTGCCGGAAGCGGGAGGGCCGCTGCTGCAGGGCCAGAGACATGATTTCAGGGAAGGGGATTTCTCAGGGAGGGGTACAGGTACAGGTATAGGTACAGGTAATGGGTGTGCGCCTAGAGAGTACTCTAATTAAAGCTACAACTGTCGCTGCTTTGTCGCCTTGTCGCTTGTGGTTCGCGTCGCTTCTTCCTCGGGTTCTCTTTTTGGGGTTTCCTCTGGCTCTTCCTCCCTTCTCAGTTGGCAGCTCTGGCTGCTGCTTTGCAAATAATTTTCAAATTTGTCGAAATCTATAAAAAGATTGCATTTCGTTCTTTCAGCTGTTGGCATCGGGCAAGGTATGAGCATAATGACGACAATAACATCGCCATTATCATCATCATCATCGTCGTTCGCTGGCAGTCAATGGTGGGCTGTACTATGATTGATTCATTTTGGCAGCGAGCTCATAGACAATGTCATAATAGTCGCAAATTTTATGCAATAGCCATGAAAGAGACGAGTATCCTAGACACGGCTATTGAAAACGAGTGGAAATATGGCTTAACTGCCACTTGAACGAAGGTTTAGTGAGCTTTCTTTACAAATTGATAGCTGATTTTATTACAAAATTTAAAAAAGTTATCTCTGGAAATATATTTTATCATCTTCTAAGAAAATATCTTTAATATTTTAAAATTAAATTAAAAGTTATACGTCAAAAAGATAATTTTTGTAATTTCTTTAGTTGAAACGATTTAATTTAATCTTTATCGCAGTGTATATTTTGAAACCAAAAGCCAAGATCACTAAATTGACTCTCTTCAAAAGAAGTCAAGACTATCTTAAGTCACCAAAACTTCTATAAGCTAAAGATCTCCTAAGAGATACTTTAATCTCAAGACTGCTTACAAAATGAATCTTCATTTCTTCTCAGAGATCTGTAATCTCAGCCAAACACTGGTCACCAACTGGAACGTTGTATACGCTTCAACATACCTCTTGCTGGAGAAGAATCTCTTCTTCAAATCGAATGTTTTCTCAATGGGATCTTTCGATTTTCCACAATGAACCCAAATTCTGATTGTGTAATCGCAGCAACTGCGCAATTTTCTGCAGGGGTTTTCAAAAGGGTTTTATATATATTTTATGTACGTTTCATGGAATCTCTGCTGAACCAAACTCACTTCTCGCTTGAGCCTGAGCCGCGTGGGTTTGTGGGATCGGGTGTAGGATCAGATATAGCCTGGCTCCTGAACAGAAAACTAATGCCGTTGCTTTGTGCGCGACTAAAGAACTCGAACTGAACGCTAATAGCTAAATGGGTCAGTTCGCTATCAATTGTGTTGGCAGTGAAGATCGATCGAGAATCAATCGATTGATTTCCCCCCTCAGTACCCCAAAGACGGGGCCTTGCGTTGTATTTTGGTTTTTTTGGGGGGGCTTCCGCTTTGGCTAAGGAAACAACAACCCAGCGATCGACCTTCGTCTGTTGTCGCTGTCAGTTGAGAGCCAGAGGCGGGGCTACTTCCAAGGGGGATTTATGATTATCGATATCAAAAGTTATGCTTCGTTTCCCAGACTATGTCCTATAACTTACCGGATAGCCTCGATCTCCTCATCCTTCTCGGCCAGGCGACGCTCGGCGTCGTGGCGGTACTGGTTGAAGTCGGCGGCCAGGCGCTGACCACGCTGCTCCTCAGCCTTGCGGCCCTATAATATACATCATTAAAAATAAATTAATTAATATGCTCGGAAGGTTGAGTTATTTTTGGGTACGTACAGCCTCAGCCTCCTTGTAGGCGGCGGTCAGCTCATCGCGCTCGTTCTCCAGACGACGCAGCTCCAGCTCCAGCTCGTGCAGGCGACGGTTCAGTTCGTTGATGGCGCCCTTGGCGTCATGCAGATCATCTACAAAGATTTCAGAGATATCATTTATAAATTCAAATATATAATTGATAGTAGACAATAGAACCCACCTCCCAGCTTCTTGTTCTCGCGGGCCAACTGGTTGTTAGAGTCCTTGACCTTGTCCAGCTCATGCACGGTGCGGACGAGATCGGCCTGCTTGTTCTTGAGGTCGCGCTGGCTGGTCTCGTAGAGGACAATGGTCTCGTCCAGACGGCTCTTCAGCTCAACGTTGTGCTTCTCCAGAGTGTTGACCGACTTGGTCAGCTCGCGGCAGCTGTTGTTCGACTTCTCCAGGTCGATGATGAGCACCTCCACTTCGCTGGCCAGGCGGGTCTTGGTCTTCTCCAGATTGTTGACCTTGACGATGAGCGACTCGATGTGCTCCTCGAGCTCGGTGATGCGGACCTGGTACTTGCGGCGGATATCCTCGACCTCTTCGGCGCGGGCAGCCACCTCGGCACTGTACTTGTTCTGCCAGGAGGCGGCATCAGCATTGGCCTTGACCAACTGACGTTCCAAGTCGATGCGGGCCTCCGACTCCTCCTCGAGTTGACTACGAATCGAGTCCAATTCGATCTCAACCTGATGCAGAGAGGATTCGAGCAGCGAGCGACGACGGTCCTCATCCTCCAAGCGGCGGCGGGCGTCCTCCAGCTGGGAGATCACCTGGCTCTTGGAGAACGAGACCGTGTCCAGCTGGACCTTCAGATCTTGGACGTCCTTGATCAGCTCAATGTTCTCCTGCGAGAGGCGGGACTTGTGAGAGGTGATGTCGATCACCGTACGGTTCAGCTCCTCGATCTTCACATTCAGCTCGGTGATCGAGATCTCCAGCTTGGAGATGTGCTTCTCCGACACGATCTTCTCCTTGTTGTAGGACTCGATCTGGGAGAGCAGCTCGTAGACTTCAGCCTGGAACTTGGCCTTGTCCTTCTCGGCTCTGCAATTTGTTTAATAGGTGTTCCGGTTTAGTCTTGGGGTCTTTGATCATGCTCCCGATACTTAGGCATGGTTTGTGAGAGATCGGCCGGGCTGTGAATCGCTAGCAAGCTTGGTTGGATCTGCGAGCTTTTGGCCACCGATCGAGGCTAGTCGGGCGGTGATCGGTTTTTTATCGATCACCCTCCGACTGTTTTATCGATCGGCGGTCGAAAACCCGGCAGTCCAAGGGTTAAAATCATGTTTGGTATGCCTGGAAGCAAGCTTATGAGAATAGGTTTTTCAATATAATAAGGCATGCGGCTCACACGGAATATCTATGACATGACAAGGGTATCTATTTGATCTTTTGTTACGTGGTAAACTTAATCGATTTTATCGAAATCTTTAACTATAACAATTACGATTAGCGATTAATTCGATTAACTTGTGTTTACAGCAAATGAATTAGGTCTTTTACTCAAAAGTAAAGCATAATAGATTGATATACTTTTACTTGTTACATTTAGTTTTTTAATTATTGAAGAAATTTTTATGTATCTAAATATCGAAGCAGATATTAAAAAATTTATATTTTATCTGAGATTTACTATATCAAGAAAACTAATGCCAAAACAGCAACCGTTATCAATGTGTAGAAAAGATATTTTCGATAATATGAAAAATATATTTGATACATATTGATGAGAGTTCTCTAATGTCATTGTATTGATCATATTTAAGTTATTTGCTGTAGAACAGATTACAACAATTCTTCAAAATCTATTAAAGACTAAATTGTACATATAAAAAGCAGAGAAATTGCAACAAAAATCAAATAAATCCCATGTTGTTTTCATCATTGATCGAATTTTTAATTCAATCCAAGGCATTCGCCAGCTTTTCCACCTGCCGCTGGGCACGATCGGCGCCGATCCGTGGATCGGTGCAGCCGACCTTTCCCACCCGCCAGCTGAAAAGCCAGAAAACGTATCGAATTTCCATAATACACGGTGCGACGGAGCGGGACAGCAACAAAAACAATCAACACAGTTTTGTATATGATTCAATCAAAGACATATTTGGGTTGGGCGTTGGTGCGAACGGGCGAGCGAGAGCGGCAACAAAGAGCCTCTCCGCTCAAGAATGTAGATGAAAATTTCAAAATTTCTATAAATAAATGAAAAGCGAAAAAAAAACAACAAGACAGTGGAAAGGAAAATATTTGGCCCGCTTGCTTTTTGTTGGTATGCGTATGGGAATTAACATATGGAGGAAAGTTTCGCCAACGAAGCCCCACAGAGCTTTCCGCGGAGAGCTTTCCCAAGCGAGCGGGACAGCTGGCTGATCTTCCGTTTGTGCTCTGTCTTTGTCTCTAAACGGAAGTGCGCAAACTCGGGCGCACCTACGGAACATTAGTGCTGGGATATCCCAGAGATACACGCGAAGATGTATCCAAGAAACTGGACTGAATCCCTCAAGGCCCTAGATAATCACTTGCATTATCAATTTAGTACTTGGAAAATAATTTACTAGGTGATTAAGTCGCTTAGCCTTGAATCGCAAACCGATTTCCACATTCTGCGGAGGAGCAGATGAATAAGAAGAATTCTTTGCAATTTATTTTTGGAAATCGCCCGCTTCGATTTGGAAATATGAGAGGCGGACGCCCCGGCAACCGAAAGTTTTCTCGATTCTTCGGCCCCGCATTTGTGTCAATAGAACTTGCAAGCCGTGCAACTTTATGTTTTCTTTTTGGCCATTTCGCATGTCATGGCATTTTGATGAATTGTTTATGATCTGTTTCGATTTTGGTTTCTTTTTTTTTTTTTGTGGGTCAGCGGGGCAGCACAAGGTTAGCGGTGGCATTGTTGTCTTACTGCACGAGATCTCGAATCTAGATCTCGATCTAGTTCTAGATCTAGAGGCATTGAAATGTCCGCCAGCTGACGCCAATCGATCATCGTTATGGGAGTGTGTTTGCGGGGGATGGATGGACAGCTCAGGATGGAGATGTTTACGCTTTTTGGAGGCAGTGTGCGGATGGAATAGCCTACCTAGCCTTGTTTTTCGTTAGGATTTCAACCTGCTCCTGGAAATCCGTGATAATTTCGTTGTGCTTTTTCTTCAAAAGCGTGGCGGTCTCCTCCGATTCAAGATGAACATCCTCCAGCAGCTTGCGCAGCTTCAGCAGCTCAGCGTCACGCTTGCGGTTGGCTTCAAACTGGCAAATAATATAAGCTTAGTTTCGGTGTATCTAATAATATAACCCAAGATACTCACTTGATGTTCAGCACCACCCTCGGCCTCCTCGAGACGCTCGGACATCTGAATGACCTGAACGCTGAGATCGGCTTTCTCGCGCTCGATCTGCAAGGTAACAGGAAATCCACGATTAGTTTAAGGTTTTCTCATCATATATAAGACCCAATAATTCTTGTAATATTTCTGAAGCCTATTTCATAATCTTTACATATCTAAAATATGAAATTCGAAATTTCATAATCGAAAGAACCTATAAATATCACGCCTCAGACAACTCAAACGGTCCATAATAAAAATTATAAGTCACATTAATCAGTCAAAAATAATTATGCACATGCAACACCTAAAATAACAATGGCATCATGCCAAGAAATCCTCCACGCCGAGGTGTATCCATATAGTCCGATTGCATCTGCGATCTGCCGTATATATCTTTTGTGGGGGCGGGCGGCTTGCATTTCCAAAAGGCACATTTTTCGAAGGCATTTTTCGCCTGAATAGAAACATTTTTTGTGTCCGTTCAGTCTCTCGGAATCTAAACATTTGTATTTCGCCGAATGTCGACCTCGTTTTGGGCCAATTTTTGTGCGAATTGTAATTAAAATAGGTTTTACGAGGGCTCTGTGCTATTTGTTTGGCTTTTAAAATGAACATTTTGCAAGGAACTGCCTGAGAAACTCTTGTTATTCTTCTAGCTTTAATCTTTGGGATCCCCCCAATATGTGTTTGGACCTTAATGTTTATGGTAATACCTAGGCGGACATGTGTTTGCTCATTTGGCATAACGGAGAGTTGCCGCTGGCCACAAAGGCCACGTAAGAACGGGTCGTAAATCCATTTGCGCCATATGTATCTTGTAGATACATGTTTTTTTTTTTGCATATAGATGTGGGATTTGGATACGAAAATCTGGCAGAGGCGGTGTGAAGATTTTTAATGTGCATGAAAATTATTTAATTTTCCCACAAACACACAGTCACAGGGGAAGATTTTCCGAGCGGATTTTCGGAGAGGATTTTCTGAGCGAAATTTTGTAGCGAGGAAGAGAACAGATGATGATGATGGCTTTTGGCCACTTTATTTTCTTTTCTTCTCGCGGCCGTTGGGCTGTTGGCTGCTGGCTGTTCATATTTTTGTTGTTTTTCAAGTTAATCATTCGCTTCTGTGTATTGAATGTCGTGCGCTAATTTTAGCCATTTTGTTCCATATTATGAGCGTGTGCGTCGGTGTGATATGCTGGCTTGCGGGGTGAGTGTATGTGTATAAGGCGAAAGTAATTAAAGTTATTTCCAACAAAATATAAAGCACACATTCTTGGCCAGCCCCTGCCATTCCCATTGCGATTCCGAATCCGATTCCGATCTGGGGCCGCATTTTCTAAATTTGTAATGCCAAACAGGAGCGCCCGCTGAATGAAGTGCACTTTTCCGCTCTCTCTTTGACTTTGCAAAGCCAAAGGAAAGCAGGAAAAGTCAGAAGAAAAATCATTTATCAAGCGATTGAAGTTCAATGCACATCATTATCATTTACTTTCACACTTTCGGGAACTCTGCGAAGGGTAGTTTATTCTTAGACGCTTAGCTTTCTAGCTGCAATTTGCCTTTACATTTGTTTGCTGCGTTTTCTATCGGTCTGTCTATTTTGATTTTATTTTGGTTTGCTTTTCCACATATTTTTGCTGTTTTTAGGGTGACATTTGCGAGCCGACAAAAGTGAAATTCGCATTTTCCTGGCGCCTTTCGCTTCGGGGAATGTTTTTAACCCGCCTTCGAGCAGGTGGAAGTGGATTGTAATATATCTAATTAAAGTTATCTCAAAATCTAGAAAAATGTATAACTATTCTCAAAGTATGACTCAATTAGTTATAGATTTTCTTTACTTAAAAAAAAAACTTAATCTCCTTTATACAAAAATATTATAACTTATATGCAAAGTAAACCCTTTTAAAATCCCCTTAATATTAACATTAAATACAATTACTCACCCTTTGACGCAATTCACGTTCAACTTCAAGATCATCTTGGAGCAAACGGATCTTGTCCTGCAAGAAAATGGTGGATACATTTATTCAGAGGGATCTTTCATGGGCTTAATAATTTATATTTTTGAATTTATGGCACTATTAGCACAGCATTGGTTTCTTCACAAATATTTTTCTTCGATGATTTCTTTTTTTTCGTATATGTATATATCGCTCGGCGGTGGCCATTACATAATTTTTAGCAATGCATATGTATATACAGACACGTATAGATACATATAGACATCTAGAATTTTGCTTCACCGAAAATATTCTATATTTCCACACACAAGAACGCGGCGAGAACTTAGCACACGAATATATATCTACGGTATATATGTGCCTTTGATATAGAGTGTAGATGAATTTTTCGGGTTTTTTACTTTGTTTTTCTTGTATTTCTGTATATTTTTTTCTTGATTATTTTGCGCTTCTACACACAGATACCGCGAAAGGCGAAAGAGAGAGAGGAATTCTCGTAGATTTAATAGAAATTCGGCGCACACGCATTTCGATTTTCGATTTTAATCCCTGGCATTGGTCCGCGGATCTTCAGGGGACCATCCGCAGGGGATCCCTTACCTCCAAGCGGGAGAGCGAGCTCAGGTCCTGGATGTATTCGATGTTGACATCGGCGGCACCGGGTCCCGTGGACGTGGCCCGGTAGGAGTATTTCGAGGAGCGGACAGCCTGCGATGACGACATGTTGCTAGGTCAGATTTTCAGAGACTCAGAGATGGGGGTTCTCCAAATGGATGTGAAAATTATGCGATCGATCGGTTCGCGTGAGTCGCGATTCAAAACTTAATTGTGATTATTTTCCTCTCAAGCGAAAATCTCTACAGCACCGCACGCAGTTTTGTAGTTGTCACCGAGTCACCGAGAAAATTCGTAATAAACGTCGGAGTAAGGCTGGTGATCTACTGAACAAGAGATCCCGTTGTCGTTCGAATAAAGAGTATTTCGTTGATTTGGCCGCTGGTCGCTGGTGAATTCGTCTATTTCAACGATTTCCTCGGCTCCCTTCGGCGGCGATCGGGCCTCTTCGGCGCCGTTCGTGTGGTCTTCGTCGGTTCGAGTGGCTTTTCCGTGGAGCTACATATCCCTCCTCCCAGTGGGGCTCTGCTCCCGAAAAACTTTCGAGTGGCTTTTCACGCGCCCGGCGTTGTGTTGTGTTAATTGCTCAGTTGTGTGGAACATTCTTTGATATTCCCCTTTGTGTGAACGCATTTTCACGCCACCTAAGGGGGGCCACTGTGAAAATAAACTCGAAAACACACACGAAAAGCACCTCGCTCTTCGTTTTTCTTTCTACTTTTTTTTTTTCTTACCTGTAATTAGCCTGTGTCATTTGGCCGCTGGCCGTGCGTTTCATTTTGTGTATCTAGCGTCTGGCCAAAATGTATCTACACATAAATTTTCCCGACTCTCAGGCCCGTACATTTAAGTCATGTTGAAATATTTGGCATCTTCTTCTGCCGATCATAAAGTTCATAATTTATACATATTTATTGGCTCATTTAGTTGGTTCATGGGATATCATTATGTTTGTTTGCTATTCGGCATTGCTTAAACAATATTACAGCCCAGAGTTATAGTTATAAACATTAGAATATTGGGGTAGAAAAAGGCAAACAAATTGGGAAGATAATATCCAAATAATGTGATTGATTTGAGAAAACCCCATGAACAGTTTTTTAAACTATCTTTGTTTTACAAACAAGAAACTGTATTTTGATATATATTATTTTATATTAATAAATGTATACCTAAAAAGTGATAGCTAGTGAATTTTAATTCCCACAGGAGATATAATACTAATCCAAAGATTCTCTGCTTGTCAAGGTTGCTCTGCTAAAATACTACTGAAATATTGAAAGATAAGTAAGAACAAGACAATAAACTAGATATAGCTTTACAAAAATAAGCAATTATAGTTCCTTTTATCTTAAGAGTACAGGAATATATCAATACACTATTGATGTACTAAATAAAGTCTCGTCTAAATAATTAGATAAAGCTATACCTTAGAACCTCTGCTAACTTATACTTTGACCATATTTACCTAATCTGATGTATATACTTTTGCCTACATTGTTTGAATCAAATAGAAAATACATTTAAAGACCCTAGCCAATTTTCCCCTCACATATATATTATGCAGTCGCCAGAGGTATTACCAAACTTTTAAGCCAACAGCAAATATCATAAAAGTGTCATCTTTTCTATGATATGCTTTTAGAATGGTTCGCTAACAGCCAATTAGGATTACATGCAATGCTCTCTAAAAATACTTGACTTTTGGCATCGAAACGTGTTATTCGCCAGCATAAATAAATAAGCGTTGGGAGAGCGTTGAAAAAGTGTGCGAAATAAACAAAAATATACAACTTTGAGTGAATCCTTGGCAATGCGGACAACAGTCTGCTCAACCTCAGACAATGCGTTGTCATCTAACAATTGTTATTCAATGGTCACGTAGGTGACTGTTTCGGCATACACATATACATATATATATATATAGATTTATTTTGGCAACCGACAAGTTTTTCCAAGAAGTAAATATATATTTAGCGTAAGAGAGACTTTCGTAAATAATTCTGTTACACTTTGAGTGATTTTCGGACACGGTTTTCCAAAGGAACGAAAACGAAGCTTTTTGAGTGAAAATGGGGCCTTGCTTCGGGTTTTCCTCGTATGTCGAGCGATCGCCTCCACCTGTGCTCCACACACGAACACACTCTCGAATCACACTATACTTAAAAATGATTTTTCGCTTATTTTTAGCAACCGAATTTCACGTTATTTCTGCCTTTTTTTCCCGCTTGCTCATAATCATGTTCATTTTCCACACGCATTTCACCTGGGGCCAACATATATATATATATTTTATAAGTATATGCATATATCTTGCGGATCTAGATGGGCTAACCGTCCTTATATATAGAAGGATGGATGGATGGCTGACCGGCCAGTTTGCCGCTCCGTATCTCGTAGATACTTAGCGCTGGCTGGCCATAACTTTATTTATTTTATGCATGTACGTTTATATATACAATGTTGCCGCTTCTTCTATATATATAGTGTGCGCCAGGCAGCCGTAGAATAATATTTAACATTCTGTGTGTTTGCCACATTTTGGAATGTGTAATAATTTAAAAATAACCTGGCGAATATGTAGCAAGCCATTCGCCGATAAATAAGTCAGCCCAAAATAGAACCAAGCCAGACAAAGCCACTACACCTTAGGTTGAAAATGCAAAAATTCTATTTCACTTATAATTCCCAAGTTGCAGTAAGGACAGTTGTAAAAATTACAGATATTTGGGAAAAAGTAGCTGTTGATTGGTTCGCCAGTTCCCTAAAGTTTCCCCTTTCCACCTGGCTTTTAGATAGAAAAAAGCAATTCCTTGTTCTTGCTTATAATTCCCAAGTCTCTGGTTGGACAGGTGTGTGTGTGTTTGCATGCATTTCACGGCACATTGCCCATCATTTTACAGCTGCACTGAGGTCAGTGATGGGGACAGGATTCCCATACCCACTCCCATTCCCATTTCCAATCCCATTTTCCTACCTCCACCTCACGACAGAAATCACTCAGCGCCCGCTCTCGGTGTCTTCTATTTCTTTCATGTTTCATGTGTGTGCTTCATGCTGCCATAGGAAATTGGGTCAAAATTGTTATGATCACAGACACACACACACACACAGACACACTCACTCGGCGCGGCTGCCCCGCTATGCAGTTATATATAGATCGACTTCAGCTTGTTCCGAGGTGTGCTCCCGCTTTATAGAGTGCGGCCATTTGACAAGTGCTCCTCCTCCTACTCGGTGGCCACTTTCTGCACTTTCCGGGATCACAGGAGTGGAGTGGAGTGGCTCAAGTGGGCGCCACTCGAGGAGGGCTCCAACTAGGTGGGTGGTGATGGGAAAATTCCCAGCCAGCCCCCTATATAAATAGCCTTTTAATGCACTAAAAAAAAAATAGAGGAAAAGCAAAGAACAAAGCGCCTAATGCGTTGTAGTTCCCTGGAAAATCTGGCACTTTGCTTCCCGGTTGGCTTCAATTTTCGCGAATTTTCCATTTAACGTTGACAACTTCCAATCAGCCCGCTGATGATTCACAAGCTGTGTCCTCATAATGCCAATAGCCATCGTACGGGTCCGTTGCTGTTGACAAATCTGGGATTTTGAATGTCTTCATGGCATATAGCACCCACAACCATCGACATCGGCCTGTGACGCGGCACACCGCGAATCTGACTCATACGGATGAAAAATACGGCAAACATGCACGGATATATTCGGAATAAGATATATGGTCTGGCTAGGTGCAAGAGAGCATGAAATATTTTATAAAATACAGAGGCCATCCACCGGTAAGCCTAAAGGTAATTATAAAAAAAAATATGCAAGAAATTATTAGAGTATAACAAACTGATAAATATTTTATTTTAATGGAAACATTTGCATCACAGATTAACTAAAAAAATAATTAGAAATAAATGTATATATTTAATATACTTAAAGACACGCCTTTCTGATAAATATATAATCAAATTAAGGAAGAACGCAATCAGCCTATGAATAGATTTTTTGTTTATAAATAGAAAGCAGAAATAAAAACTATTACTAATACTTTTTGGCTAGATACACAATTCCTATTTTCCTTGCCTGTTGATCTTACCAATGAGACGAGCTGTTGACAGAATTATTCGATTCGGCCGAGTTTCATTAACGTTTATATGCAGCTTGTCAGGCTAACCAAATTTTTCTGGCAGCTACAATTATTCTTTAATATTTCTTTAAAAAATTTGATTTTTTCTGTAGAGCATTTAAAGTTCGTCTATTCCCTTCTGTGTTTGCATTTGTCTAAACGATTAATCATCAAAATTATTTGCTGCTCGTGATGCTAAATGCAATCGAAATTTAATTAATGCCGGCGGTAAAAAAAAATTAATTCTGACAGTTTAGATTAAAATTCTGTGCTTGTGTTTGCGTGCTGCTTGTCCTGAATATTTGTTGAGTTAAATATAAATATTTTTAGCTGCAGTTTCAATCGAGCTATAAACTTTTAAAAGGTTAAACAAATTAGTAGGCTCATGAAGAGAATTTTGGTAGACACTTTTAATATAACAATCATCATTATCATTTAAGAATAAAAACTACTTGGGTATTAATACTAGTAAATACAAATTGTAGCAATCAGAATGAGGACATTTAATTGATTTACCTGTTTCTTATAATACTGAGATATAATAACTCAGCCCTTAGATTGAACATTTTATATATATATTTATTATATAATATTAAGATTAAATATAATTTTTAATGTCCCATCAAACCCCTTCTTCCCAGAACTCCTTAACATTAATCTCATTATGAGACTACACTTCTTCCTGAAATTCCAGAAATCCCAGATATTCCTCTGCTAAAGCTAAAAAATAGACTTAGAACACCTTAGGCTATATTCTTCGTTGGTAGCTAAAGCTAATTAGAAAGAAAAGAGGATTAGGTTAATCCAAAAATTAAAATAGGAAAAAGATACTCACAGGCTCCACCCACAAGTCCCCTATTAGTCACCGGGTCATAATCCACAGTCATGGCATCCGTAGCCAGCTCCAGCACATCCAGAATTACACCAGAGGTGAGGTTCCAGGTCAGAAAGTGCCCGGATTCGCAGCTCGCCAGCAGTAAAAGCTGCGAGTCACACTCAAATGGCCACTAGGATCTGAGTGGGAGCTGAGGCATCCGTCACATGTAGCACCCCGATAGTAGACTCCTCGCAGGGAAAGAAGAGCAGCTGCTCGAAGGTCGAAACTATCAGTTTCTTCCCAATCCTGTGAAACTGTCTCGAACTATTCTGTCGTTGTCATCTCTACTCGTCGGACCATTTGGAAAAGCGTCAAATTTTTTCGGTGCAACAAAAAGTATGAACTCCTAATGAAAACCACGATTTTCAAGGACCTCAGAGATGGGAATAAATGTTCTTAACAAACTAAATTGGCCGCAAGAAAAGGTTGAACTAAATGCCGGATTTTCGGCAATCTACAGTAACTTGACCGTAACAGTAACTTGCTCAAACTTGGAAAATAAGACTCTCTGAAGTTTAGTTGTTTGCGTTGAAAACCTCAGAAATCGGAAAATCTGGGCACACTCGAACACGAAACCCTCAGATCGCCCGATATGGCACTTCTTGTCGCGGGTTCACTGCAAGTCTGGTACTTTTGGTCGCTGGGACCGAAAAGTCTGGCAACACTGTTTTCAGTTTTTTTCTCCCAGTGTTTCCAGTTTTTTTTCTCAGTGTAACGTAAGTGGCGCCCCCTGTAAGTAAGCAGTTCGTAAGCAGTTCGACCAAGCAGTCCAATGTAAATCGCCAAATGGCTGCATAGGTGCCGCCACCAAGTCGCAGCCTACCAGGTGACCGACCCCGCCACTGGGTGGCGCTGCTGCCGTTCCGTGGCCGTCTGGCCGGATGAGAGTTACAAGGAGCGAAATCCGCCTTAAAACATAAATACACTCAGCCGAAATAGAGTGCAAAGAGGTAAAGTGAATTTAAAAATGAACTAATCCTTTTAAATTGTAAGCGTTGTTTGTAAATGGTTGTTTAAGCAGCCATTTAGTGTCCTAAACGAGAATATATTTAAATTATTATATTAATCATACTCAATTGGGAGAAGTTTTAGGATTGCGCGGCAAATGGAAAAAATTGTGGCATGTAAAAACCGTTCTAAGCTACAAATATAATTTTTTAAAACTTAATTTTAGTAAATACTCTTAATAGCCCATAAGTATTTATTTAAACTTCCTTGAATATATAATTTAAATTGTTGTATTTCCAGTAGTCTGTTTTAGTGTTAATATTTATTAATCTAACGAAGCAAGGTAATTATTTATTTCGTTTTTTAATTACATAGGGTTATATTTTCTTTACCCATACCATGACATCAACTCATCTAATAATTAAATAACAACTAAAAACCCTAACGAAAACACAGTCATTGCAAAAAGAACTCGATCAGGTTGGTCAGCCGGCGCATGCTGACGTAGTTGACTAGCACGACGTAGGCGTAGCAGGTGTAAATGTAGGCCCACCACTGGAAGTGATACGGTTCCTTGGATCCCCCGCCGCCGCCTCGAAGGCGGCCGAAGCCCATGAATCCGTTGGACTGCAGGACGTATGAGTGATGTCGCTCGGTGAGCAGCCGCCGGAACACTGCCCCACTGAGGTAGACCACAGTCAGCAGGAGAATCAGGCGCCGCAGATGCACCAGCAACAGCGCCATATTAACCACAACAGTAACGATCCAGGGAATCTGCAAAGGATATAGCAACACATGAAGTGCAATTAAATCACTCTGCAGAAAGATTTACCTTGTTTTCCCAGATTTTCCGATTTATTTTCGCATTTACGCGACTTCTTTGCGTTTCGTCTTGTCTTTTTGTTTTCGTCGCATTTTTCGCTTGCCTCTGTGGTGGATTTTTATATATATTTTGCTATATTCTTGGCTGGCAATGCTGGCCAAAACTTTTCAAAACTATTTTTGTGAAAACTCTTTTGCAAAAGCTTCTCCCCTTTGGCGGCTAAAATACGAAAAATATTCAATTTGATTATGCAAAATGTTTAGCTTAAAAAATACCATTAATTAGTCTTGTTTACATTTTGTAATAAATTCAAAGGGAATCCAGGGAAAATTGTCAGTGCTTGGCAAATCGAATTAAAATCCACTTCAAACGGTGGAAGCAACGCCTCTTCAGATAGCTATCAGCGCTTCTGACATAAGCTACCACTAAGTACGGCCATAAAAAAATATCTACGAAAATCAACAAGCTGCATCCGATAAAGATCGATCAGGTCAGGTCAGTGGCGGAGTTCGAGGGGACTGAAGGTAATTATGTGGAATTTATGGATTATTTTATTACATATTTGATAATTACGTTTTGAAAAAATATTTGTTTATTATTTAAAGTATAAATAAATTTTAAACAAAACTTAACTGTTATAGATGGGTAGGATTGGTATACCCTCCTAATCCCTGCCACTGTTTCCCGCGTATACGCAATGCGTATACGTAATATTCCCATGGAAGAAACAAAAAGAAATACTTGAGACCCAGGCACACACACACACAAAGATACTTCTAACAACAGCTCCATACAATGCAACCTTGAAACGGCGATCAAATCCGCAGTCCATCGGGGAACAGGGGAAGGGAGCCGCCACCCAAACAACAACAACACGGCCACATTTTTGTCGGAGAAAAGCAAACACAGAAGCGCTTGGAGAAGATTGCAACACGCAGTGAGGTTGGTTAAGAACAACAGCCACGGCAGCGGCAAAATACAATATTAAATTAAATATTAGCACACCGAAACGGAGCAGCAGAAACGGTGTCTGGAAAATGAGAAAAACGCGAGACGAATACGAATATGTGGCAATGGCCGGCCATCCGTCTACAGTCGAGCGGAAAATGAGCTGTAAATAAAGCAAACATAAATAAAAAACTATTAACTGCAATTTTTTGTCGGCTCATTGTTTTCAGCTGTGACATGGACAACGAAGAATTAAAAGATCTTCAGATTTATGAACATATTTTGTAAGTAGTGTTGAGAAACTATACAAGGCATAACCAATATCCCCGGTAAATAGTGGTTATTGTGATTGCAGTTAATTTGATTGAATATTCGAAAATATAATTAATTATGTCCTAGCATATCTTCGTATCTTTCATCTGGAGAGCCACCACTTGGGACATCCTCCCCCCACAAAGATCATAAAAAATCCATTCGCTTTGGCTTTCATTGTGTTTTATGTGCACGCAAACAAATCGCATCTGGTCGACGTGCCGCCTCCTTACAAGACTGCCTCGTTCCAGATCCCCCTCTTCCCGATCCCGGAACATCGCACTCGATTCGTTTTATTAGCCAGCGTTTCATTGCGTAATATGTCGCTGAAGGCACACACCCCCAAACGCCGCAGTCGCACTCGTAAATTACAAATTTGAAAATCGCAGGAGAAATGATTGAAAGGCCCAGAGATCGGCGGCCACTGGGATGCGGATGAAGATGGAGCTTGGCAGAGATGCGATCGCTTCCCCTGGGAGCCGGTGGGCAGGCAGGCACTGATAAAAAGGGGATAAAAGAATGAAATTTTCTTTAAAAAAAAATAAATTAAAATACCCCACAAAAATATTTAAATGCAGAAATCCGTTTTCGGATTGCTTTAACTTTTTTCACGATTTCTTTATATTTTTTTTTGCAGTGCAGCTGGCCGGGATTGACGACGTCATGGCCTGGGCAGCAGCATGATTGACCGACTGCGCGGTGCACCTCGCCGTTGCTCCCGGGGATTGCCGGCCTGACTTTTATGGCTGTCGGTGTATTTCTTTTTATTGCCTGAACCAAAATCCGTTTCTAGTATTCCCGACGCCGTTCCTCTTGATTTGTTTGCATTCAGTTTTCAGTTTTTCGGTTTCGGTTTTTCAGCTTTTTCAGTTTTTTTTTCTGGGTTTTCTGGGTTGCGTTGGCGTCGCCACCGGCAGCACGCACTGGGAAAATATTTGTGGAAAGCATGCGAAATGCACGCCTGTTGTGGATCTTTTATATTTTTTAATGCAGCGCTGAAAGCTATTTGTATCTGTCGGTCAGATTGGGTTAAGACACCGCCCCCTTAAAAACTCCACACACTTCCTCCTGCGTGTCTTTCGTCAAAGTGTCGGGCCACTTTGGCCCGGGGCTATTAGCCCATTGATGCCGTAAGCGATGCCTCTGAATTTTCCCCCTCCCTGTTCCTGTTGGCATGCTCTCCCCGGTTATTTAGCATCTTTGTCGCCCGGCCTGATTTATGGCAAAGGCATTCTATTTCACCCGAATGGCTTTTGGCATTTTGCGCATATTTAGTTTAAATGTTTTCACTAAAGCCCAGCGAACGGACGAATGCCAGTTTTATTTCATGTTCGGACGTCATCTTTTTAGCCGCACGTTTCCGGTGACTGCCGGCGCGCCGGCAGCAGCAGCGGCAGTGGCAACTGCAAAAGTGGCACACAGATTTTTATTTATAAAACGAGACCAGAACAAATATCAGCAGCATATAGCGTCTGCATGATATCTCTGATATAGTTTCGGCACGACACACGACGAAGTGAACCGAATAATGCCCGGGGCCAGGGGCCAAGTCAGCTATTAAAGGAATCTTAAAGGGCTCTAGAAATGGGAGAATTTGTATAAATAAATGTTGTTAAAGATTTGCAAGGATTTTTTAACTCGTGATCTGCCTTTATATCCCGTTGATCGAGAGCATTAAGATGCTCAGCCGAGCACCTTGTAATTTTCACTTTTTTCCTTCTCCTCGACACAACATAATCTTGGGAGACACCTCATCAGGTTGAAGACCCCGGTTGGCCTCCCTTTCGTTGTCTTTCATTCACAGAAACATGACAGACCGCATCTGTATCTGTAGGTGACAATTATCGTTTGCATCATGCACATATTTGTGATGTTTTTTCTTCTCCTCTGGATGCCTCTTCCCGACCCACTCATCTATTAGTCACCGAGGCAGCCAGGGAATATTTAAATTAAATTATTCGACTATTAATAGAGGGGAAGAGAATATCTTCGGTGGAATGAAGCAGCCCAAATAGATGCGAAATACTTTCGAGTTGCATTTTATGAGCATTACAAGAATTTTTACGCATTTCCTTACCATTCCGCCGGTAGTTGAAATCAAGAAGCTGGCACATATAGGCGATCTGGCCGATTTCTGTCAGAAGATATATAGTCGTATGAAGAGCAGATACATACGGGATACATGGCAAATAATGTGATTTGGTGACGGCACTAGCCAATAAATGCTCTTTGTTATGCTTAGTATTTTTCTATACGGAACTTTGCCAATTGTGAAAGATTTCTATTTGTTTAAGGATGAAATTGTAACAACAATGTTTTAAAAATATTTTTCGTTAATTTTTAGGCTTTACTATCCGCTTTAAAAAGAGCATTAGCCGGATAATAATTTCAAAAGGATAGCTAGTATATGATAATTTATTTTTAAAGAATACAAGATGGTTCGAATCGAGGAATCCAAGGATATGCTGGATGCCTAACCTGGGGGAACCCAAGGCTCAAGGCAGCTTTCGCATCTTCAATGTTTTTTATGGTCATCTTTTTGCTTTCAGCCATGTTAGTTACAATTTTTAGAAATTACTCGCACGTAAAACTTATATTTTTACGATTTTTTAAATCTAAATTTTTCATGAACTCCAAAAAATATCGCTCCCTTAGTTAATATACCAGTCCTTAAGGGTATTTTAAAGATCTTTTTATTTATTTCTCTATTGCAATTTACAAACGCAGTATCATCGACAGAGAGCCGGCAGAATCTCGGAGAGCTTCTTCCGCGGAGATTCTCACCGCCTGCCGAAAATACACGCACGCCCGAAGCGCGAGAGTAGCGGCGGCTTCTCTGCGCTTTTCAGCTTTTCACGCAATTCGGTGCGAGGGAAAATCTCAGCACGAAAATATTTTCACAGCAGCCAGACAGTTTTCCTTTGACAACGCGCCGAGTCGCACACGCTTTTCCGATGCAATTCTGAATCGAAAACGGAAGAGAAAACGAAGACAGAACTGAGGAACCAAGCGAGAAGAGGAGAAAAATCGCTTTCGCATGCGACAAATTCGGTCGGGATCAGTGAGTGTGTGTGTGTGTGCGAGTGTAAATGTTGCTAAATTTATAAATAACAGCACAAGTTGTGCCTGTGCTCCTGTGCTCCCAAAGTAAATCGGAATAAAAGCAAAAGTGATGCGCTCGCCGTGAGGGAAATGGAGATGGAAAATAAGGAAAATATCAACGCATAAATAAAGCGTTGCCGCGATCGCGATCCGCGTCCGATTCTGTGGCATTTGCCGGCTGCATTCCCAAATAGATCGGCCAGCTATAGGCTGTAGTTGCTGCTGTTGTTGTATCTGTTGTATCCGAAGGTGCTCAGGTCTATATCCCCGACCTGGCGGTGCGTGCCGGTGGATTATGTAAAGTGGCACACGAGCGATCGCAGAATATCTCGCCATCTCGAAAACAAAGAAACCCCCAAAAAAGAGAGTTGGCTCCCTACAGAAGGGAAACTGAAATCGAAATAAAATGGAAAACAAGCAAAAATAAAACGAGAATAGGAAAGATCGCTAGAAATTCGTCGCACGCGCCCGATCTCAGTAAGTGCATCTAATTTATTTTGCATCTATTGCAATTGAGAGGCGTTCGCGCGAATGCATCCGCCAGATACGTTTTCGTAATTGTCGTCAGCGGTTCGAGTTGCGCGAGTGTCCGCCGGATTGGATTACCACCAGCCACGGCCAGAATAAATACAAGATAAATTAGAAATTTCAAAAAGGCAAATACAAAGGCTGTTGTGAGGGATTCATTTTGAACGGGCCGATCGAGGATCCCTTGCCAAGAGCAACGCAATGTCGTCCTACCGCAGTTATGTAAGTACTAGTTAATGCCAACTATCCGTATCGGTATCTGTATCTGAGTATTCGTATCTATTCTCTTCTGCCATCAAGTGGTTGTGTGTATCTTGGCGTTTTCGCTCTGCTGTGTGCTTTTGCAATTTTTGTTTATTTCTAATTTGTTGCCTTCTTGCCTCATACACTTGGCTGTTTGGCAGATACACAGATTCACGTATCCGTGTATTCGCAGATATAAAATGTATCCAAGAGCTCGGGGCTCTGTGTCAGCTCCAGTTCCATTGATAAACAATTCAGCCACAAATTCGCTCATTGTCTGGCATTTCGGCCTAATTCCAATTTCCTCTCCATGGAAAAGCTCAAATTATGGCCGAGGTGTGGCAGCTGAATGAATGAATGAATGGATGGCTGCCTGACGGTTTTGAATGAACGAATGGCAAACAAATGCATAAATAAATGCCTTTTATTTTGGCCGAGCGCTTTAAATGACAAATTTTAAATGTTCTTAGTTTGATTAATGCTTGTGTTTGCGCACCAAAAGCGTTTAAATACACTTTGTTTGAAGTGATTTCGGTATAAATAAGACACATTCCAATGTGTTTTAAAAGTGAATAGTATATTTAGTTTATGTTGACTCGGATAATACTTAATTTTAGCAGAAAAAATTATAAATTCTTCCCTATTAAATTTAGAAATATAAAAAGTTAATGACCAATTACTAAGGGACTACCTAGATAGCTTACATGTATTAGCATCTAATTAATATTCCAGTTCATAATCCTCCCCATTTTCTTAGCCGCATCCCCCTGTCCATGATCACCGCCACCTTAATCCCCTTCATGTTCAACTCATTATATCCTTTTGTTCCCAGGCATCGTCGGGTTTATGACTTCAGGCCGACTTCTGACACGTTCGGGCATAAATCAATTAAATATTTTTCGGGTCTCAGAATCTAATAAACTGATCAATTTATGGCCGGCAAACAACAAGTTTCCACTGCCTCCCACTCCCCGAGTCGTTTCCCCAATTATATTTAGAATGCTTCTAAAAATGTGTGTGCTGGTGGGGAGTTTGGAGTAAATCGAAATGATTTCTGTTTCTTTCGAGTTGACGCCGCTTCTCTCTCTTCGGTTCTTGCCGGAGCTGGTACTTTGTTCGAGATGTTTTTATGGCCAGAAGGAAGTTGTAAATATTTATGACACGCATAAAGTTGAAAGTTCCTCCGTGAGAGCCGCGGAGCACGCACCACCTAATTAATTAACAAAGTGTGAATATTCATGCAATTTGTTCTTCGAGGGGAGAAAGTGATTGGAGGGGGAAACAAGGAGAAATAGAGAGGGTATAATATCCTTTTGCTTAAATTTGAATATCGCACTCTACAATGAACAACTTTTAAGTATAATATTAAATATATCTGTACACTATACTTTCTAAAATTATTGTTTTAAATTAGTTATAAGTAGTTTCGGATTTCTCATCTAGTTTCTTTTGAAATGATTGCCAAGCTATATCAAAATTGTCAGAGTGCCGGGCGCTTGTCAAGTGAAATCGGTGTTTTATAATTCCAGTTGGACAAACAGGTAGAGTCACAGAATCCGCCCCCACTTCTTAGCTTTTTTCTGCTTTTCCCAGTAAGAAATCACTACAGAGCCTCAAAAATGCCGCGTCGCCGTCGTTCACGCCGGAAGTTGAATCCCTCGATAGCTCTGAGGAAGAAGAACCAGGAGAGTGCCGGGCACAGCAGTCGCTCGAAGTCGGAGCCGCCTCTTCCGCCCACCGTACCGGATTCGCCAAAGGCGAAGCCACCCAAGTCGGAGCCGCCCAGCGAGGAGGTTACGGGCGAGGCGGCCTCCACTTCCAGTGGAGAAGTCGGCAATGAGGCGGAATACAAGCTCTTCCCCGAGGTCTTTGAAAAACCGCCACTGGGCCTGCTGCCTACTTTCGCTGACGTGTTCGGGCAGCCATCTTACGAAAATGGTTACCAGCCAAAGGATGTGCCGCCCGCCGCCGCCCCAACTTCATCCTCGTCCTCGACCTCCACATTCGCGTCCACTTCGCAGGGTTGTGGCTGCCCTGGAATCCAGAGCACGGCCGACGGGCATTTTACCCAAATTCCCGCCACAATGCTGAACGACAGTTTTGGGATGACGGGTCTGTTGGCGGCCATTCGGAGCACGGTCACGGAGCCGGGCTCCACGCAGCTGATCTTCGGCGAGGACCTAACCACCTACGGCCTAGACTTGGCCGCCCAAGGCGACATCTACGTGCATTTTAATGGTCCGTTTACCATGGAACCGCCAGAGCGCAGCTCCATGGATTGCGCCCTAGAGCTGGGGATGCGTGCCATGCGGGATGCGATGGACAGGTATCCACCCCTGCCGCCGTTCTGGGATCCCTTTGTGCCGGAGACCCGGAACCTGGGACTTCTGGGTGTCGACGGCAAAAAACTGGCTTCGGACCAAGGCCAAGAACCCAAGATGGCAACCAAACCGGAATCCAAGTCGGAACCCAAAACGGAACCCGTGAAGGAGTCCAAAGAAGATCCACCTCTGACGCCACCAGAGCGTAGTCGGGATCGAGAAAGGAATCCCAAATCCGGGATTCAGAATAAAAAAAAGAAGTCCAAGCATCGATAGGACCCAGCCCACTAGCTGGAGAGCTCAACAGAAATTTGGTAAAATGTGATCGTTTTGACTAGCAAGTCTTTGAATTTAAGAATATTTTTAGACCAATATACCGAATCGGCTTCAAGAATACGACGTTAATACGTTTTGTAATAAATTAAATGAATTAAGGTATGATCAAAAATTAATATACTTTTGTAGATTATTTATAAAGGAAAATATTTAACAGTGTTTGCAATGGCAAGTGCGCCATGATGATATTTTGGCACTATTATATTTAATTATTTTTGTAATGTTTGTTTAATTAGGAACTAAGCTACAGAATAAGTCTTAGCCACAAACAATTTTATGGTTTTATGATTTTACTTTGTAAAGTACTTAGAATAAATGTTAATATAAATCCTATAAATCCAAATGAACCAAAGTAATGTATAATATAAAAAATCTAAAAGCACTACTATGTTGCATATACTCATTAGGTTTTGAATGCATTGTATCTTTCACTTTTAAGTTCGCTACATCTTACACAGTTTCGTGAAACGCACTTTTCGACACTTTTGACAGAGGAAACTAGAAAAGCATTTAAAAATAAATCATTTGTCTGGCACGCGAATTTTCAGTTGCCACTTTAAATCATGTGAGGTCACAGTCTATATACTCTGTGAGTGGATGGCTTTCCTGGCTGCGATTTATGGACCCCGGCGACTGACAGACAGGCGCATTACAGTGCATCCTGCTCCTGGTACTCCGATTTGCGATGCCCGATCTCTAATTGAGACCGCATAATAACGCTGTCAGAAGAAGTGCAGCAGCACTCCTCCAACAAAGTACACATGGCAAACCGATTTCCATTCCCATTCCAGAGAAGATCCATCCGTAGACATCCCCGATCATCGTCAGCCTCCGCCGGCTGAGTGTCTCCGTTTGCTTGTTTTGCACATTGTTGGGCTATTTGTGTGTTTGGCATTCCATTTCACTGGGCGAAAACAATTAGCCGCGACTGTCCGTCCGTCTGTCTGTCTGTCTGTCTTCCTCACTCTCTCTCGCTCTTGCTCTCGCTCGGTTAGCTATTCTTCCCATTGGGCGGGCGCTGGAGAATGTAATAAAAATAATATTATTTTTTATCCCCTGGTAGTTGTCATTCGCGGAGACTGGCGCCACTAGGGATTGAAAACTCAGGGAAATGTCTGAAGAGCATTTTCATGGGCGAATTCCATTAAAATCGTGGGAGTTCAACAACAACAAATTGAATTATTAACAGAAGCTTGCAATTTACGAAACAATTTGACCAACAAAATAGTCAACAAGAAAGAAAGCTAACTTCGGCACGCCGAAGTTTGTATACCCTTGCAGATATTATTTCATTACATTTTACCTATACTTATTATGTTTACAGTTTGACAGTTACAGTTTTGCATTCCCAGCTTTACATATTCTCTACATCTACCGATCTTTTATATGTCAGCTATATCATATAGTAGTCCGATTTTTATGAAATTTATACCAAAATTCTAGAATAATAAAAAAAGCTTATATCTCAGAGTAAGTAAAAATGCGTTGAAAAACAACGAAGCTATAATTTTATTTCTATTAATTTCCCGATCGTTTCTATGGCAGCTATATCATATAGTAGTCCGATTTTCATAAAATTTTTACCAAAATTCTGAAATAATATAAAATAGACATATCTAAAAAATGGTGCAAAAATGTTGAAAAACAGCCAAGTTATAATTTTTTTTCTAAAAATTTATCGAACATTTGTATGGCAGCTATATGATATAGTTGTCCGATCCGGCCCGTTCCGACATATATAGCAGTGAGAGTATATAGAAGACTATGTGCAAAGTTTCATTCAGATAGCTTTAAAACTGAGGGACTAGTTTGCGTAGAACCGGACAGACGGACGGACGGACAGACGGACAGACGGACAGACGGACAGACGGACATGGCTAGATCGACTCGGCTGTTGATGCTGATCAAGAATATATATACTTTATGGGGTCGGAAACGTCTCCTTCACTGCGTTGCAAACTTCTGACTGAAATTATAATACCCTGCAAGGGTATAAAAATTAAATGATATTAATACAAGAAAGGAAGCTAACTTCGGCACGCCGAAGTTTGTATACCCTTGCAGATATTATTTCATTGCATTTTATCAATACTTATTATGTTGAGAGTTTGACAGTTACAGTTTTACATTCCCAGTTTTACATTTTCCCTACACCTACCGATCGGATTATATGGCAGCTATGTGATATAGTTGTCCGATTTTCATAAAATTTATACCAAAATTCTGAACAAATAAAATAAGCTTATATCTCAGAGTAGATAAAAATAGTTTGAAAAACAACGAAGTTATAATTTTTTTTCTATTAATTTCCTGATCGTTCCTATGGCAGCTATATGATATAGTCGTCCGATTTTCATAAAATTTTTACCAAAATTCAGAAATAATATAAAATGGTCATATGTAAAAAATAGTGCACATATGTTGAAAAACAGCTAAGTTATAATTTTTTTTCTAAAAATTTATCGAACATTTGTATGGCAGCTATATGATATAGTCGTCCGATCCGGCCCGTTCCGACATATATAGCAGTGAGAGCATATAGAAGACTATATGCAAAGTTTCATTCAGATAGCTTTAAAACTGAGGGACTAGTTTGCGTAGAAACAGACAGACAGACAGACGGACGGACAGACGGACATGGCTGGATCGACTCGGCTGTTGATGCTGATCAAGAATATATATACTTTATAGGGTCGGAAAGGTCGCCTTCACTGCGTTGCAAACTTCTGACTGAAATTATAATACCCTGCAAGGGTATAAAAATGACTTAATAATTTAAGGGATTTATAGCGGTCACAAATCAGGTTATTTATTTCAAAACATACAATTTGATTTTAAAAATTCTGGGTTCAACAGCATTTCATCTGCTCATTTAAGACAATTTGCAATAATTGGCCAAAGCGAGTGCTGTTTGCCAAAAATCTGTATATCGGCGACGTGAATTTTGCAATTTTAAATGGTTGTCTGATCGCAAAAGATATATATACATATCTCTCTGAGCAAAAGGGCAAAGTGGTGATCGCAATATTCACTATATACTAATGCCTAATGTCTAATGCGCTGCGTCGAGATTAGAAGGCAGATGTTGAAATAATCGAAATGAATCTGTTTACACGTCCAAATTAATTGAAAAACGCGTGCTACAGCGCCATTTAATTGAAAATGAAATAGACGCAGCATCAGCAGAGTCCCAATCCGAATCCCAATCCGAGGGAGACTGCAATGGGCGAGTTCAAAGAGACGGCGCAGCCCAAAACACACAAATAGTCCAACGGCGATATCGGGCAGGGGATATATGCATGGGGTCTTGAGATTCTTTGGCATCCACCGATGGTGTTGATGTTGCTGATGTGCCTGATGTTGTCGGTGTTGTTGTGGTGATGTTGCTCCTCCACTGACGATGATGAAATGCGTGCGAATAATTGTCGAGTGCACGGCCCATTGAGGAAATTCCCCTGGAAAACGGAGAAGGTGGCGGAACATCAGCGGAGTAGGAGAGCAATGTGCTCTACATTGCATTGTTTGTCTTAAGATTTTCCCCGGAGTCAATTGGTTTCGGGCTCTTAGGGCGCCAATCAATCAAAGCCATGTGATTGCCCATCAGTTTCAATTTCTTTTGAATGAGAGCAGGCACATCTCGAGGAGGAGAGCTGCAGAGGCCACAAGGAGAGCTGTGCAAGAAATCACTCATTCATTTTTATCTATTGAGAATCACTGAGAAAATTACTACATTTATATATTTAATTTTATCTAAAATAAGTTCTAAACCTTTGTAATTGTTGTATTTTAAACTTGACCTAAAAAAGAGAGTATTTATTGATAATAGATTTATTAATTTGTTTCTGTTCTTCCCTCTCTTTTCAGACTCCCTGGAAAACCAGCCTGGGCAGCTCCTATAAGCCGGGAAGTTCTTCGGTACGTACTCTATAAAATATTCCAATATTCTCTGTAATTAACTTTCCTTTTTCTTAGTACGGCTCCACCGGAGACTCCACATCGCGCTACACATCACTAGCCACGCCAAGTGCCTACAGACCCTCGTTTTCCGGTGGAACTTACCGTCTGAAAAGAGATCCACCACCGAGCACTGCCAGCACCACTCCGGTGACCAGTTACGTAAGCCGCTATGCCAAGACAGATCCTAAAGAGACAGCTTCCAGTGAGCGGACCAGTCCGGTCAAGAGGTATACGGGTGCAGGCACCAGCACCCTGGCAAAATACGGACGATCCCGGGATCCCAGTCCGGTGGCCTTGGAGCACACAAATCGGAATAAGTCCAGGGACCCGAGTCCCGTCATAGACAGCGCCAGGAGCAAGTTGGGGGCCACATACCGGGCTGGCAATACACCTTCCAGTTCATCCTCATCCGCCTCCAGAAACGGCTACAGCAGTCGGTATGGTGGCACGGCCTCTCGGATCTCGGGAAATGGGAGTGCCATATCCTACCTGACCACCAGTGACTTTCATGCGAGAACCGCCAGCAGGGCCAAGGCCAGTCGGGAGAGAGAAAGGGAGAAAGAGAAGGAACTGGAGATTGTGGAGAAACCCAGTGAAATGGTCTCCCAGGGCAGAGAAAAATCCACAGAGAAACAGCTGGAGGAACAGGCGACTGTCAATAATGAGGTTGAAGCCCCCGAAACTTTCGTAACCATCTCGGTGGTCACCAGAGCCACATCACCCACCTTACCGGGCAGCACCACCGTACAGCGCACGCGTCGTATTGATCCGGCGAAAACCATCGAAAAGACTATACAAAGATCCACCAAGAGACGACCCACCATAGATCAGGAGATCCAATCGGATCGTTTGGACGACTCCACGCGATATCTTCGCTACAGTGCAGGCGGCAGTAGTCTCAGTTCTACGTATAGTCCCCATCGAGATCGGATCAGCAGTTTGCGGTACAGTGCCAGTCCACATAGCTCGGGATCGGGGAAGTCCAGTCCATTGAGTGAGGGAAAACTAAGTCAACCCGCAATCCCAGAGGCAGTATCTCCGGCAAGAAATAATGGCTCTGTGAGCTCGGCAAAGTCCTCTGAAGCCCTATCTCCTCCCAGAACCAATGGCACTGTAAGTTCAGCCAAGTCTTCAGAAGTCCTATCTCCTCCAAGGAGTAATGGCTCCTCAAAGTCCCCAGAAGCGGTATCGCCTCCTAGAACCAATGGCTCTGTGAGTTCAGCGAGATCAACGGAGGCCTTATCCCCTCCCCGAAGTAATGGTTGTTCTCCAAAATCCATAGAAGCAGTTTCTCCACCCAGATCCAATGGCTCTTCAAAGTCCACAAAGTCTAAGCTGTCGCCACCGAAAGCCGTTCGCCTGAACTCCCGCCAATCTTCAGTGGAGAACCTGGTGAACAAGCCACCGGCTCCTCCCAGCAAGGCGGACTCCCCCACCAAGACCTGCAGCTCCAGCTCAGGTAGTTCCGCTGTCAAATGGCCCAACAAGGATTTCCGAAAGTCATCCCTGAACGTGGGACCCACAGACAGGCCAAGGAAGTCGCGGACCCCTAGTAGTGGCGGCGAGTCCGAGGACCTGCCCAACGGGAGTAGTCTAGAGCGCTCACCCAGTGCCGGGTCCGAGGGAAGTCTGGCCTCCGGAGGCTCTTCCAAGAAATCTGGCAAGCTAAGCAATGGCAAGGTTTCTGGAGTAGGAGCTGGCACCAAGCCAAAGGCCCACAAATCCTGCAGCGAATCCACCACAGGCAACTCATCCTCGGCCACCGCCTCCGCTTCGGACAGCGATCAGCAGCGGGTGAAAAGTGTGAAAAAGACGACAAAGAAGAAGACCGCCGCTGGCAAGGTCGCCGCCGCCCACAAGCCTTTAGGAACCACCGCCGCTGAGTCACCACCGCCCGTCGTGGTTGAGGTGGTGCCAGCGACACACACGCGACTGAAGAAGCTCTCGGCGGTGTCGAATTTTTTCGCCAGCCGTCAGCAAGACGCAAATAACGAGCCGATCTTCCTCGAAAGCTCCGAGAGCTCGGGCGAACCGGAGGCTCTTTTGCTGCCGGTAATCTCGGGATTCTCGAAGATCTCGAAGATATCGGCTAATAGTCTGACCACAGACCTGCGAACGAACGAACCGCGAACGACGCCATCGAGCGAAGCAAACCCAACCTCACCCACGACGAATTCACTGAGTTCGAGCACACGCTGTCCCAGAGAAACCACCACGGGATCAGGAACGGGAACCAGATTGCCTACGAGCACCGTTAGCACCAGGGACACCCAGGACACGAGCCTAACGACCACGGCGAGTTTGACCACTTCGGAACAGGACGAGCCCAGTTGGTGGCAAGACACCAGCTTGCAGATAAACACAGCCTCTGCTTTGGACCACAACAATAGGACGGAGATGCCCCCTTACAGACTGAGGCACATTGATTCCGGCGAGGAGCAGGCATGGTGGCTGCAACGCGACGAGAACGGGGATGACGACGACACTCTAGCGGAGGAAACCCTGAACACTCTGGACGACGATGCCCAGGAAGTTAGCAAGGGCACATGGTGGAGTCAAGAGGAGCAGGAGTCCAGCAGCAGTCAGGTGAAAGCAATGCCCAGGAGCCGGCTCTCGCCGGAAAAGGATGCTTGGTGGCTGCAGGAGGAGGAGGGTCACAAATCTCCCAGGGAAAACGGAGATCTTAACAACAATAACAACAATAGCGAACCCCATGTAGAGGTTACCCTGAAGTTGCCTTCTAATGGCAGCCGTAGCTCGAAGAGCGGAGGAGCCTCGAAGAGTACTAATGGCAGTTCAAAGGGTGGCGGCTCCAATCCCTGGTGGCTGTCCGGTCCGGCCAAAAAGCTCTTCAATGTAAAGCGCGTGGAGTCCGGCGAGCGAGCGTGGTGGCAGGAGCAGCCAGAGGAGCCGGCCCACGAAGAAAAGGAGAACGAACCGCCACAAGTGAAGCCGCCAACGCCCCCACCGCGCATCATCAAGCACTGGGAGTCCGGTGAAAGAGCCTGGTGGCTCCAAGACGAACCCGAGACCAGCAAGCTCCCAGCTGCGGCCAGCAGCGATGACGAGGAGCAGGGAGTGTCTCGGGATGAGGTGGACCTGAGGCAGAGCCACGGCCAACCCATGATGGATGCTCCTCACGAGCTGAGCAGCTCCTTTGACTTTAACGCCTACTCGGAGCGACCGGTGCCGCTGGGTCAGTGCGCCAGTCCCGTGCGCTGTCCCTCGCCCTACGACAACATTCCAAGGTCGAAGGTGCAGGAGCCCTCACTGCCAAAGCCGCCAACCCCCACCCACTCGCACTCCCTCACCCCACCATACACACTCCCCACCCTCCAGCCGCGCTTCTCACCGCAAACTCGCCGAGCCGGCGAAAAGCTCTTCATCTCGCGTCATCAGAACATCGATGAGTTGCTAGGCGGCGCCTGTCGGCCCCTCAGTCCGCTCTTCTACAGCAACCCCAATCCGGCGGAGATCGAGCCCACCCCGCTGGCCAGCAAGAACATGTTCCTCCTGGAGGAGGTGACACCCGATCAGGTGCGAATCCACGATAGCACCGCCCAGCTGCCGGTCATCCAGCGAATGCAGCGGTAAGTTTTATACATGAATTTAAAGGGGAAATAATAAACATTTAGGTAATAAATTTAACTTATTTATAAAAATAAGGATATCGCCTTTTCTAAACATAATATTAAAAAGAAAGAAAATAGTTAAAGCTAAGAAAACATTTTCTTTGTGTTTAAATATGTATAAAATATAATATTAGCTCACTTTTAAAAATATCTTTTATACCCATTAAATCTTAAGCAGGAAATCGGTTTTTTTAAGTAAATAGGAAACAAAAATCTAAAGTCTTTAGGTTTTTTAAGTTGCCAATTTACAAGGTTGAAAGTACATTCCTAAATTTCTCAGGTGAGATTTTGGCTTTTAATATATAGTATCATTAGGCGAAAATAAGGCCTTATAGAGCTTTTGGAGAGAGCTTTTCCTGTTTGTTGTGTGGTGAATTTGCTCAACATGTGGTTGCTTATATATCTCTCTCTCTTTATATTTTGATCTTGCAGCGATGTCGAGTGGTTGGAGAATGGCAACAGCTTTTATGAGCCACCAAAGTCACAACAACAGCATCAGCAACAGCAACAATCACAACACCAGCAGCAGCAGCAGCAACACCGGGTAAGTGTCCACCCCCATAAACCAGCCCCTACCCCTCGAATTTTCCCCGATTTCTAGGCAGATTGCAAGCGTTTTGGCAGCCTGCCCGTCTTGTTACGATATCGACTGCCGCCTACACTTTGGTTTATTTATACAAATACCCTAGGATTTCGGAGAGTATATGAACAAAGGGGTATATTAGTTTCACGGGAGCAATTTCATAAAACTGTTTACATCTTATAAAAAATACTTTCAAGTAATCTAATGATATTTTAATATTTAAGTTAAGTTCCATATATGATGATACTTTCCGCATTTAATGCTTACATTTACATAAATAAATTCCTGAATTAAATTCAATATTTTTTTGGGATTTAAGCACTTCCTTCATCCTTTATATTTCTCAACGTTTGCTGTGTCACTAAAAATAATTCTTATGTTTCACTTTGACCAACTTTCTCTGAAAACTACGTTGCTGCTAAAATCGAAAATACTTAATTTCCAAGCGTCCTGCCCTGCACTTATCGGCCAGATATATCGATATAGTCGCAGACCCACACCTCGTACCTTTCACTTATCGCAGAACTTTTGACACTCGCCGCCCCGTATCGCTTACCTGAAGCAGCTGGGCGTTCAATTTCAATTTAAATACCCGGAACGACAAAGGGCAGGCCAGGGCGAGCCAAGGTGCGCGCACCCACACCCATTTGTTGGCGGTGGTGATTCGGTGGTGCAGTGGTGCAGTTATCACCTCCGGCATCGCCGCCAGATTCGGTCTTGAGTGACAGCCCTCAAGTGGCAGCGGCAGATTGAGGGGTCTGTGAGTCAGTCGCCGGTGTCTGGAACTCTGAAAATAAGAAAAATCACAAACAATAAGAATGTTTTTGCGGTGTGATATACGACTTTTCGATGACCTTTAGTTGGGTGCAATTAAATTAAAAACTGAACATACTGCTAGGGTGTAAACCACTTTATTTACAGCCTTTAAATGTGACTCAGAAAGAGCATGGGCACAGGTTTGCTGTACAATTTTTATTTATAGTTTCCTAAAACATTTACATTATCTAGATAGTTATAGGTTAGTTTTAAAAATCTACTTATTCAATTTATAGATAATTTTGCCTCCTTCTAACTTCAACTATAATTTTAATAGAATACTTTTAAACATGTTCTTAATTGGCTTAAAAACCATTCTAAAAGACTTCAAAGTAACATGCTTTCTATAGATAAGGGAGAAGAGGAGTACTTCTCCTTAATTTTTGTACTCCAAACCTGAATATACCCAAAATAATCTTCACCAAAATGGGTATAAATGCAAACAAAGTGCAGCAATGTCAGAACAAAACGCGGAACAGCAGACACACACAGAATGAAAACATGAGCACACAAATTTTATCTTAATTACATTCAGTCGTCGGCTTGGGACTGCCGGCTTCCTTGCCGGGATTTGGCTTGGGATTCCGGATCCAGAATCGCGCTCCAGTTTGCTGGCCACACAAAGCCACACACATTAGCACCAACAACGAGGGCAAGGGAACAGCGAGAACAACTCTCGGCTGAAATGGGTCATAATGCAATTAACACGACCATAAAACCAAATCAAGGGGGCAAAGAAGCTCTAACTGTAAACTGTAAAATATATATTTCCGGGAGAATGGGCTGAGGGGTCAACGCGGGGCGTACAAATACCGCTTGCAAATATTTGTTTATTCATTTCGCTTCTTAAATGCGAAATACTCTCGTACTTTAAAGCAATTGTTGACTTTGTTCCGTCAAATGTGTGGCCATAAAAGCAAAAGTCGCCGAAAAAAGTCGCCATTAAAAATCGAAAGTCCATTCAACCCGCCATAAAAAACCTATCAAGGCAGCAATTCCCTAGAAAAGCTCGGTGTTGTCACCTCTGAACCCAAGTGATTCGCTGCCCGAAAATAGCATCTGGCATTGATGCGTGAAAACCAAAACAAAACCAGAGTCGAGCAACGCCGCAGCAGAAATTACCCAAATTACATTATAAGAGACATTTAGTTTTCATTTATCGCCGCTCGCACAAATAAACACAATTTTAATGGCAACCAGCGAAAAAAAAAAAACAAAAATGTTGCGACGATCTCTTTGATGACTCAGGTTCAAGTATTCCCCGTTCCTCCCTCTTTTGATGCTGTCTCGGTTTTGGTTTTTTATTTCAAGGCAATTGTTGCTTCGGCAAAGACAACTATATTATCAGCTCATGTACATACTTTGTTTTTATAGTGCTTACTCACATTTTAAGCTTGAGTCGGCGTTTGATAATGGAGTCATCTATTTAAGTGACGTCTTTGACCCGCTGCGGGAAAATCCAGAGTTGTAAAGTGTTATTTTCAGGGAAAAAGAAGTGTCTTTGAAGGTCTCTTTAATACGTAATTTTTCCTTATTATAAACTGACTAAGTCCAGTTTATTATTATTCTTTATTGACAATATTTAGCTACAAATATTTCCTTTCCCTAAACTATTCACTGTTGTGATGGCCTGCCATTTGCAACTATCGATTTGCAATTAAGTAGCATATCGAATGTGCGGTCATTAGCCATTAGCCGGCCACCACCCGCACTGCATCTGGATCGAATACCCAATCAATGGCACTTGTAAATCCATTGCCCGCACCCAAAATATATTGCCCATAATCGCAACCTTACACGAGGCGACGGCACACACCCACCGCGAAAAGTCAGCGCCCAGCAAACACAGCGGGCGAGCTGCAGTCGGAGTCTTAGTTGCAGTCTTAGTCAGAGTCTTAGTCTTAGTCTGAGGCCCAGCATAAAGTCCGGCTAATGATAGGCTAACGCTCCATCAACGATAAGGCCAAATTGTGGCACACGCGCCACCAAGCTATTTTTAGGCCCGAGCATGGGGAGCACTTGTAAGTTGTAAGTACACTAAGATAAATAAGCCATAAATGGTCGAATAATTAATTAGATCAAAATATAGAAAATTTAATGTAAGCATATTTAAGATAGAATTTCCTTAAATGATATTTATATTGTAGTATATTTTGTATTGGAATCGACCTTAACATACTTATTTCAAATAAATTGAAAAAGTCTTTAAAATTACTTGTAGAAATGTTCTTTGAACATTTTTTTTTACATTTTTGAATTTAATTTATTATGAAATAATATGTTTTCTGATTCTTAGCCTTCAGATTGACTCCCGAATTTTTGGTATATTCATAAATTATCCAAATATTTGGAATAGTGCATGTTCAATTAGAGGGATAAACACCGGGCTAAATAGCAACAATGTTGCAGCCACTCACCTGACCACACTCACTCACGCACACAAGCGCACAATCACATCCAACACACGAAACAACTCACTACGCTCGCAACCTGCCTCAAGCGCCTTACGTCTTGCTGTTTACGTCACGCAAGCGTAGCGTCAGCGTTTTCTTACCTGAATGTCTAGTGCTTACGTATACACTTGAAGAAATCTCGAAAACTCATTTTAATAGACTAAATTTTGAAAAGTTTACAATATCTTTAACAAATTATAGCCTTATGTGTTATGTATTATAATATGGCAAATTTTTAAACTCGTTCAATTTATTTTAAAAATAAATGTAAATTTATGTAAACTTGAACATTCGGCAAAAATCTCCGTGATTTATAAACAGACTACAGATACTTGTTAAAATTTTTAAATCTAAATTTAGTTTTGTGTTATTCTAAATTATTTAAAATATAAAACAAAAATTATATTAAATATTTAACATAATACTTGGACATAAAACGCCTTTTTCAATAATTAAATTTATGAACAACTCTTTCAAATATATTTTGTATTATCTGTTTGAGTAAATTTTCACTAATTAACGGTAATTTTAGTTATTAAACTTAAAAATATAAGATACATTTTAATAAATAAAATTTACTACCGTTAATAATTATACTGAAAAAAAGTTATATTTTAAATCGCTTATAAATGTCCCCAAAAGTATGAAATGAAAGGTTGAACATCTGCGTATACTTAATATTTTTCCAACATTGAAAAAATAGTAGCATACTTTCTGGCACCATTTCAGTATTCTATCAATAGATGCCAAGCCCAGAGCCATTTTCATATATCAGGAATCGTGTAAACATTTTTCCCAATTTCTTCCTTGGTTTCACTTTTTCTTTCTAGTGTAGTGTCTTTCTCTCTCTCGGTCTCTTGTGCTCTCTCCGTCCGCCGCTTCTTCTTGCACTTTTGGCGCTGCCTTCTTCTTCCACCTTCTGCTTCTTCTTCCTGCGCTCGCTGCTTTGGCGTTCCGTTCAGTTGGATTCAGTTGGACCCAGTTGGTTCAGTTCGGTTTAGTTCCCCAGCGAACGCGCTCAAGTTCAGTCGTTTCGCCTTCGCCGTCGTCGTGGTCGTCGCGGGTGAAAACGGTGTGAAAACAAAACGGATAAACCACCGAGCGAAGCAACCGTCGCTCAGCTGCGCGCGTCGCCTACCCCCTGCCGCCCACCCCGAAGTCACCTGTGTGTGCTGTGCCGTTCTTGTTGTCGTTGTGGGCAACGTTTATAGTATTTTAACTGCCTTAGTTGCTACAACAATTGGTAATACGAAATACGAAAGGCTTAACAAAAGTCATAAGTGATTAACAAAAAACAAAAAACAACCAAATAGAAGAAACAAATCAGCGATAATTGTGCGAAACGTATTGTGGAAGTAGAGGCGGAAACATCGTTAAATATTGCTAACTAGCCCACATAAAATTGCAATTTATTTTGAAGGATTATCGATTTTCTGCGTGTCACTGTGTCAAAGTCGGCGGCGAAACATCATAATCCGCGCTCGAGCTCCAAAGTTTCCCAAAAGTCGTCTCAATTGAGGCTTCACTGTGGGCGCTAAGTTCAGTGTCAAAAGTTCTTCAGTTTTGGGGAACAGCTGTCTCGCTCCGTCTCGCTCTGTCCCCACTTCCTCTTTGTCAACTGGTTCCTCTGGGGAGGAGAAGGACACACTGTCTGCGCCGCTCTATCCCACTCCAACTCCAACTGCAACACCT